AAAAAAAAAAAAATGCTGACCGAGAGTGCATTATTTATAACCCAACATAAAAACCACAATAACTTACATTCAATCCAAATAAAAAAATAAAAAAAATTCCAAACTAAAACTTGAGTGTACTAATTGTAGTCTTTGTTTCACTTTTAAAGCCAGACCAAACCAGCTTGAGCTCGACTTGGACGGGCGTCAAGTAATGGTCCCGTAACTGACCAATTTTTTTCTCTTGCTCACCTTTTCTGAACGAACGACAACTAAATCTGAGTAGCCCAAAGGCAGGCCGTGTTGTGCCTTGGCTGTCACGACTCACATTGCTGGTGATTAGCGAGAGCTCAGTGTGTTACGGATGAGCCCGCAGACTCAAATCATTATCTTTTGTCAAACTGACTCACACTCCACCTCCTGGAGTAGAAAAGCTCAGGGTTCACGATGTAAAGCTGAGAAGAAATGAATCATCACTCCACTTTTCCTCTCCCGTCTCGGAGCGAGAGCGCGGAAGGCGGCGTACCAACACAATATGCCCGCAGTGTTCTAATTGATGTGATAAATCTAATTTACGGAGATACCTCTAATCTACGCGGAGCCGCACAGACAGCGAGGATAACGGCACATCAACCCGGTGTCCTCTTCTGCAAAGTGTCACTCATTTCAAATTCTAGAATTTCAAAATCTAAGTAAAAACACTAATCGAATTGAGAAGATCAAGACAGGGCAACTTTAATGATCGAAAGGGCCACATACGTTGTGTCCATATCACTCTGCAAAGTGTCACTCATTTCAAATTCTAGATCTGCACACTTGAGAGCGCCCGGCAATAAAAATACTAATCGAATTGAGAAGATCAAGACAGAGCGGGCAACTTTGATGATCGAAAGGGCCACATACGTTGTGTCCATATCAACGCAGAGCCATGCGCGCGCTGCACTGCATGGTGGAAAACTCCCTTCTGAAGCCTCCTTGTTCGCCCAGATTTGAGATCCGCCGCTACGTGAGATTTGAATCATTTCAAGGTGAACCGGATTCACGTGGCCTCCGCCTATGCGGAAGGTCGGCGGGTGGCGCAGGCAACCAACAGCCCCTCCCTGCTATGCGTGATGTCCCTTGCACAGTCCTCTTTTGCCCGCAATAAAGAAGCAAAGCACAAACATTTAACCTCCCGCATGCTTTCATGAATATCTCAAAACGTTTTTTATCCTGAGCAAAATGCATCCATCAAAGTATGTCCTTTGTTTATTCAGTCACAGTCTTTAATGCACAAGACAATCTAATTAAACGTCACTGAAATATTTGATAATCGTCGCAGTTTTCAAAATGAAGCCATCTTTGGGTCTCACAATTGAGCTAGCAGTGAACATTATGTATTGTAAAGAATGACCTTTTTTTTTTTTTTTAAATACAATTTCTTCTTTTTTTTTGCTGTCTCGATAGAATTCCCCATAATGCTTTCTCCTCGCGGGTATCAGTGCATCCCAACTTTGCCTCAAGTGCTCTGTTGATCAGTGGTTAGAGAAAGCTACCACGACCTTGAATTGCGCCGCAGTTGATTCAAATCACAAAACCAACAAAAAGTGGTAAGAGGAGAAAGATAAAGAATGAAAGAATTGACTCACTTTTGCACCACGGAAGAGGATTACTCCATTGCCCGTTGGCCTGGCAGGATGACTTAACCGCTCCCTGAAGAACATATCCGGTATTGCAGACAAAGCGGACGGCGTCGTTCAAGCTAAACTGGGTTCCCTGTGTCGTACCAAAGGTGGGGTTACCGGGATGCCCACATGTGATAGCTGGAAAAAAAAAAAAAACAAAGAAAAAAAGCGACCTTAGTTAAGCCGGTCAAGGTCATTTGGCTGTGTTCACCGTCTACTCGAGGTGGCGAAGCTCATTGTCAGTACATTCTAACACATTTTGCCTGCAGCAGTTCGAGTCCCTTCACGACAAAGCCGAGGATCAAGCACTTCAAAATGCAGGTACTTACGAACACAGACCGGGGTCTGTCCTGACCAACGATGATCCTGTTCACAGATCCGCACAGACACGCCGATGAGACGAAATCCCGGGTTGCACTGGTACACAACACTACCTCTGTAATTGTAATTCTCCCCGTTGATTTGGCCATTCACAATAGGCTCAGGGCTGCCACAGTGGCCAGCTAAGGGGAAAAATGCATTTGCATGGCATGAAGGCCCACGTTCACAGTCTCCCCCCCTAAAGACGTTAGCTTTGCATAGCGGCACTTTGTCAGTGGACTTACCCAGACACTGGACTTGTGTTCCGCTCCAAAGTCCGTTAGACATGCACTCTCGAACACGGGAGCCGACTAAAGTGTAACCTGTATTGCAGGAAAAAATTGCAGTGGCTCCGTGCACCGTCAGCGTTCCTATCTTGTTACCATTCGGTGGGGTGCCAAGGTCGCCGCAGGAAATAACTGAAAGCAGATTGATGGTTTTAGTATCGAAACCTAAGCACCCTTTGGATTCCCGAAGGAAACGCAAGTAAGAATGTGAACAGTGGCACCGGCTTCACACTCACTATCGCAGACGGGCCGCGGATCCGGGTAGTTCCAAGTGCTATTGGCTTGACACTGAATGACCCTTTGACCCCTGTAGTAATACCCCGGGTCACATATGAGCATCATTATAGCATCGTATTGGTTCTGGGTTCCATAGATTAATCTCCATCGCCCATGCTCTACCGCAGTGTGGCCGATATCAGGGCAGCTCACCGCTGTATCGGAGGAAATCATCGACAGTTTTCCTCACTTCTCACTTTCGTACGACACGGCAACAAATCTTCGTGATACACTTACGGACACATCTGGGAGGGGCCTCGATGGGACTCCACCTTCCGGAGTCCTGACAGACCATTGTGGTGGTGACAGGCCCTGCAAGTCGGAATCCAGGATTGCACCGGTAAGTAGCCCTGGCTCCTAAAGAGAAGTCCTGACCCACAATGCTACCGTTGACAGGAAGCAATGGCATTCCACAGGATGTAACTGGCATGGGAGGAAGAGAATAGATCATCAATTCCAGGGCACTAGCGACCAAATATATTTTCAGATGCCATTTTTTGTGCATTTGGGGGTCCTGACAGCTTTTAAAAAGGTACTTCAGTGTTGCAAGCTACACCATACTTGCAGACAAGAATGGCAGACGTTAGATTCAACTCAATAATCCAAAAAGGTATCTGAGTCCCAATCCATTTTGCATCATTCTGTGCATTTTCCAAATGTACTTTATCAGCTGGTTGTATCCCTACCTTGGCAGAGTGGTACGGGTGCATTCCACTGATAGATCCCCTGGGCGGTGCGGGTGCAGGTGGCGCTGCTCTGGCCAATGAGGCGGAAGCCTTGGTCGCAGCTGAAACGAAGAGTGCTTCCCAACTTGGTGCCTGTCAGACTGTGCACGGTGCCATTTACAGGGTAGTTGGGCGGGCTGCAGTAGGCCGCTACGTCGAATTAAGAAGAAAAAAAAAAAGCAATTCATAAAGTCAAACAAGAGACCACATAATCTAAATCTGTATACTGACAGGGATAATCGTATAATCCCAATAACAATGTGAAACGATGCAAGCGGTTGCTGAGGGGGGGGGTGGGGGGGGGGTGTTGATTTTAAGGCGCCTTCCATCGCAAAGCGCCCGGGCCTACTTTTGCATCGGTCATGTCTGGATAGCGAGGTCAATCAGGATAGATATGGAGATGAAATTGCGTAGGATGTGCGGCTAAAACAGAGAATCAATTTGCATTGTGTCAAGGCATGCAAAGAAGGATTACAAAAAACTGAACACTTAATAAATGCAGCGCAGTTCTGTATCTGCTTTTGTTTGCTTGCCTTCGTGGTGGCTCCAACAATCGTACATCATTCCAAATAAGTCCAGCAACAGGTCAGGAAAAAAAAAAAAAAAAAAAACCTCACTCGGTGTAAGGGGAAAAGAGCTCGTTCCATCATCACTCTAACGACAGACAAATCCAGTGTTTACCACAAGCGATATTAAAGACATTGACTGGCTAACCGCGCGTTGCATTGGATGGCCTGCTCCTGTCAGTCAGCCGATGAGTGGCATCTCGGGAGCTTATTGAAATTCTTCACTTCAATCAGAGTCAATCTCATTTGCCTGCCTTTCTGTTATCCTGACTCCTCCTCCCCTCCCGTTTGTCTCCGAGAACATGTCTTGTCTCATTTCAATCAGCCCGGCAGCTCAAAGGACTCCGATCGACACGGGCAGGTGAGAGGAGAGGAATAGGTAATAAGGGAGGTGGGAGCCCACAAAGGCAGGGATATGAAGCACAAAAGAGATAAGAGGGAAGATAGTCAGAGGCGCATTATGAGGCGCGGCTGCCACACACTGAAAGGTGGCACGTTAAGAATGGAGGACGTGATGGGAAAGCGCTCAAGGGGATGTTTGCCTGTTGCTCATGCAAGAACTGATGGATGGCTAAAGTACACAGGACGCCAAATCGGCTGGCGCTATCTATTTCTCCCTCACCGCCGCGATACTTTGGTGTTGACCATTGCAAATTACACGTTCTCGGCAATCAATCTATCCATCTGTCATGGAACCTGCTATGGCAAACTCAATCACAGGTGAGGAGAAATTGAAAGATGAGGCAAAGGAACGAAAAAAAAAAAAAAAAAAGTAGAGGAATGACAGCACCAACACCTGGCCGGGGGAGCCGGAGAAATCACCGAGCACTATAAAGAATGATTAGTCAATCTGGCAGAATAGTGTTGATAAAGAGCCGGGGGGGGGGGAGTCTTTTCAATATTTAAACAGTGATTATTCATTACCGGCTTTGCAGGTGTCATGAAGGACAACAATAGATCCATTAATGGAATTGAAAAAGAATTGGAAGCGGCACTTCTCAGATTGAACCGATTCCCAGCCACGCGCTGCAGATGTTCTCGTCGGAATAAATAGAAACTAGAAGGACACATCAAGCTATGGCTCCGCCTTACTCACTGCCATTATGACCACACGGATATAAGTTTGCTTTAAAAAAAATTCATAAAAAATGTCTGATTCACTTTCCCAAAGGCACTTCTTACCTGAGTAGCGTATGCGGAACCCTTTGTGGCTGGTCGTGTGGTCGAAGGACCAGTGCAGGTAGACTTTGTTACTGGAGCTGGTGATGCTGAGCGGGCTAGAGTAGTTCCCACTAAGTGTGATCAGAAGAGGACTCTGCCTTGAAGGACCTGATTTAAGAGACAAATCAACAAATGGGTCCCCCACCCGCAAAAAATCCCCCCAAAACACTGCAGCTTATCAAAGTGCAGCATTATCCGCTTTCTATATTGCTCCAATTTATTCTCAAAGGTCGTACTTCATTTTCATAACATTCAGAATGAAACGCAGCTTTGTCAAATGGCCCCGCTGCGCACGGTTACTCAGAATTACGCGTTGTACGACATTTTCATGAGAACAGGCTCACCGTTGCCACACTTGTACCCGCTTAGGTCCGCGTGGTCATCTGCTTTTAGTTTCACTCGTCACAAAATCAAAATGTACTCTGCTCCAAATTGAAGAGGCGAAAAACGGAAAGCGCGTTCGGTAATTGGTTTGGCAGCCCCAAGGTTAGCGAATGTCTGCTCATTTTTGCTTTGCAAAATAAATAAAGAAAGAAAGAAAGAATAAAATGCGCTAATCAGCAAGTCTCGCGTATACGAGTGCCATTTACTACGAGAAGCCTGCCAGGCTTGCTGACTGCCCCCGTAATTACACGCAAATGCACAAAGCAGATGAGGAGGAAAGACCGTGAGCGTGTGTGGCTCTTTGGTTCATTTTAAGCTTTAATCGCGCATGCCGCTAATTGCTTTTAGGAAACATTGCACGCACATCTGTTGATTCGTAAAGAAAAAGGCAGTATCTCACCGTCAAAGATTTCAAGTTCATCAAACTGACGGCTGGTCTGGAAATGCTCGACGGTAAACGTGACGTTGTACCCGGGCTCCACTTTGACGACCCAGGAGCACGACTCGAAATGCGGGAAGCCGCTGCCTGGCGACTGGCTCATGATGACTCCCGTGGACGCTGTCAAGACCTCATTCATGGGACAGGTCACTGATGAGTCGAGACAAGGAAAGTAAAAAAAGTGAACGTATAGCAACATAATTGCTAATTTAGTGGACATTTGTGCACCCAGTGGATCTTGTGTATTCATTAGTAGTTCAACGGAATCAACTCTGAAGTTCTTACATCGGGTGGATCCATAATATCGTCGGAGGGGAAATCACGGGAGCTTCGAGTGCTATTGTAATTTGATAATTATTACAAATACTAATTCGTCTGCAAGGTGAGTCCACAAATAGCCGTTAAACTCTGGTATGAACGGATAGCCGAGAGCGCAAAGCTCATCTCTTCTGTTTGCCCTCTTTTATTTATTTATGTGCCACGGGTGTCAACTCAAAGCTGTTCCACGAGCCATATTTGGTCAAAGTCCTGTGAAAAACACGTCTGTCCATTTTTTCATGGACATTTTTTTTCTTTTTTTTTTTTTTTTAAAGCCATATTTGGTCAAAGTCCTGCGAAAAACACGTCTGTCCATTTTTTCATGAACATTTTTTTTTTCTTTTTTTACATTAATCGTGTGTCCGCATTTCGAAACATCGCTGAATGTCTCAGTTGAGACGGCACACAACAATTTGCTCGTGGCAGGCTGGCGGTCGAACGCGCCTCTTGTGTTTGGAGCATGTTTACCCTGGTGGTCGCTTTCAAATACACCAAAAGATTAAAAAGGCAAACGGGTAAAATAAATGGCGGACTGCCTCGGTTATGGGGTGTTGACAAATGATTAAAAATGTTGGCTCTTACCATTCTTGGCGCGCAAACTAAGTGGGATTTATTGCATGAGGAAATCTTACAATGTCAAGTGTGTCGTTCACTGAATTGCAAACGACTTCCAGTGAAATGCTGCTTTACGGTGAACACTCAATAGCTGAAAATCTCAAACCAGAGACCGACATGAAGATTATCATAAATTATGCAAATTGTTCTTAAATGGACTTTTGGCAAGCGTGCACCCAGCGCCATGTATAAAACATGATAGAAATCCGCACGTATACAATACAAAACACAGTGGAAACGTTCCCCTTCACATCCTCCGTGTCCATCTGCCTGTCTCGAAAGCTGCGAGGAAAGGTCCCTGGAGCACATTTACTGATTCGAAAGTTCACCCTGCGAGCCAATTTAAATCTTCCATTCCAATCCAAGCAAGGCAATCGGAATTTTGGTCAAGAATGGCACTGAAGCAGTGAGGTCGTGGGATCCGAGCAAAGAAAAAAATAAATAAATAAATAAATAAATCTGCATAAAAATACATTCATAAACTCCAACAAGACTTTTCTTCTCTATACTATTCAAACATCGTTTGCCGATCAACCAACAACATATTCCTTCTTGGTACCATGCCCACGCAATTTCGCTGCAGAAATTCATCTGTTTTGATGAAACATGTTGCTGGAATAGTGACTGCAAAGCAGCAATGATCAAGAGTCCTCATTCTTTGGCACACAAAAACACAGACGCTAACATTTACTATTTTACTCATTTTGCCACCAGTGTTCAAATCTCCATCAATGACATTTTGGTAAAAAAAAAAAAACAAACACAAAAAACGGGAGTGGCCGAGATGCGGAAATATTGAAGTGTACCACAACCAATGTATTGTTAACTTTAAGTACTGCACACACGTGAGATATTTTATTTCTCTTTTGATCGGGAATTGTACCACAAAACCCCCTAGGCACCACACTGAGAAAGATTAAAAAACATCACTGACAGATGACATGATAGAATTCAGACAGTATATAAGAGGTACGTGCAACATTCGTTGAACGATCAAATCGCGTTCTCAGTGACCTTTCAAAAAGTCGTCAAAACTGCCTTTGTCTCGTCATGGCGGGGATTGGGGCTTTTGTCCAGAGACGACTACTTCTTCAGGTGGCACTTTGGAATGAAGCATCGAGGCCTCTGCCAAAAAACATCACTGACATATGACATGATAGAATTCAGACAGTGTATATAAGAGGTACGTGAAACTTTCGTTGAACGATCAATTGGGGTGGAGATAGGCACGCTCTCAGTGACCTTTCAAAAAGTCATCAAAACTGCCTTCGTCTCGTCATGGCGGGGATTGGGGCTCTTGTCCAGAGACGACGACTTCTTAAGGTGGCACTTTGGAATGAAGCATCGAGGCCTCTGCCTATCAATGCACGATCCAAGCTTACAGAGCTCCAAATTGCTCCTTTTAATAAGGCAAGAGGACGAGTCATTTGAGAATTTCAACGCGTGAGACAACCTGTCTGGAAGGGAGCAATGCGGTCTGCGCAAAATTCATTCATCTTCCGTTCACACATGGGGTGGAAGAGTGTGCGAGGCGATCGCTAAAATGAAAGGATTCCCCTGTCTGCTCAGTTCCGCATGCAAGCAAACACTGCAGTTTGTGTATTTATAGCTACCCCCTTCAAGTGCTCACGGGGCCACAAATCACGGATATATGAAGCCTTTTACTGCTGCGACATTCTTGTCTGCGTTTCTAGAATTGAATTATCATCTGCAGAAAGGTGATAAGGAGCTGATTGAAGGGAATGGACCACTACACGCATAATAACACAAAGTGCGAGAAGTCAGGGGTGACAATGACGGCCTGAATAAGGGGCAGCTGTAATCCTCTCACGGGGACTTAAAGAAAGGGGCCGTCGTTGAAAAAGAGTAATCTATGGACTAAAAAGGAGCCTGATAGGAAGGCGACGGGAGGGCATCCTGGATGGAAAATGGATGAAATGCAAAATGAATGTGAAGGAAAAGCTCTGTTCCCAGGAAAAAACAAAACAAACAAAAAAAAACATCTAGTGCTTTGAGAGGGTGTCTCATACAGACGTTTTGATATGGCAGCTATTTTGTGGTCAATTTCTGACGTCCCGCACTGATGCCACAGATTTGTATGTGCAAGACGACCTTGTGGTCTCATGAGGGTACCGTGAGTCAAACACTCCTGCCAGACCAAACACAAGTGTTTGCTAAAGTGGCATCAAAAACCACTCGTGTCTGACAACCCTCCATGAAGCGTCTCCAGTTGGTCCAAAATGCTGCTGCTCGCCTTTTGACTGGTACTCGTAAGAGAGAGCGCATCACTCCCTTCACTGGCTCCCTCTCTCCCTCTACATTTTAGAGCTCTTTTGAAGATCCTATAGATTGTTTTCAAATCTTTAAATGGCCTGGCCCCACCTTACCTCTCTGAGCTCCCCGGCCCCTATGCAACTGCCTGATACCTCAGGTCTGTGGACCAGACACTATTCGAGGTACCGAGAACTAAGCAGAGTACGGTGCTCTGGATGGAATACAAAGAAGAGAAGTGAATGTGTGTGTCTCTGTGGTTGTAGGATTTAAAGAGAGATCAGGCAGGACACGAGCACGCTGATAGACGTCAAAATACTGTGATTTAAAGAGCGCCGATGAAGGTTGAGTGCCCCGGAGATTAACAGGTGCGTTACGCAAGAAGAGTCAGAAAGTGTGACGCTGGTGAATAGGCAGGAACTGCGTGGGGGAGGAGTGGAGTATGTGTGTGTGTGTGTGGGGGGGGGGGGCAGTCAGAGGCAATGCAGAGGATGAGAGACCGTACTGAGGGACAAACAGCACTGCAAAATAGGATGGAAGCTCTGTTAGCACTTGTCTTTAGGAGACCACCGTCGTCATACCCACCGCTACTTTGGAAGCTGGACGCAAGGACAGCCCAGTGTTCGGCATATGCGTGGGTTCACGTGCAAAATGCTGCATGCCGAGGGTTGTGCTCATGAGAGCCAGAAGCGATGATTTGATAGGTGCAGCTGCAGCCGGCATGTCCCGTGCATTTCAATGAGCTGTGCATTCCAACCTCAGTCTCTCCTTGTCCTCTCCTTGCTTGCCCTGCCGGTAAAATCCTGTCCTGTTCGCAATCATCCTTCCGCGCTGGACAAGCCATGCAAACTTCTGACTTCATACTGTATTTCGCCCACATCCCAACAGAGCCACAAGATTTCTGTTCTTCCTTCTTCAATCTGAACCTCGATTCTCCCCATGCGCTTTGTTCTTTACCAGCACTGCTGTTCCCTCAGCAAACCCCCCCTCTATGCTTCCCCGATGCTGACATAAATTACATATTTTCCCTTATTTAGTGCTGCAAATTTGTCACACGCCTCACATTATGCTAACCCACTGGAAAATCCACTGTGTGAGAAACAATATGACATGGTGGCAACATAGAATGCAACAAGAGTATTAAAAAAAAAAAAGTGTGTAAAAATACGTGTTCATGATATTTTAAAGTCGAGTGAAAACGGGGGACTTCTCTCTGCACCAGTTTCCCCTTACCCGGAGGAAAAGTGTTGAGCACAACATTCGGCGTGATAAGGGTGCAGCCTGTTGGTAACAGTGCAACTATGAGGTCCTTAGGGAGGATCATTCTCAGCACGAAGAGAGCGACACGACCGCCATTCTCAGTCTCGCGGGAACTAAGCATCATCCGTGGAGATGAAAGGTACCACCACACTGATATGAAGCTTTGGCACTCTGACTGCAGGCTTGTGCACAACCCATGGGAGTCGGAAATTTGGCCCAGCTGGAAGTGCGTGAATCCATTTGAGGAAAAATACGTACGAGAACAACCGCGCTGTGCTATGAGAATTATCTTGGCCCAAAGAATTTTTTTTAAAGGATTAATTTTTTTTAGCTACATTCAAAATGTTAGAACTGAATAAAATTACAACTTGTTTAAATACATTTATTTGATTAAATTATGTGATTAAACTAATATTCTGGATGAGGGTCTGTGAGTTATTTATAAATTCAGTTAATTACAGTTTAGATTGCAAAATTAAGATTCCTATGAACTCAGATTGCATATATAAATTAAACATGTTTCTCAAATACAGCCACAATGTATGCACAAAATCCTTTCACAAGGTAAGAAAATCAACAGGTTGTACACCAGTTTATGCAAAGTACTTTGGATGACAAACTCAGATACTTGTATCTGGCTTACTCACCATCACATGATGGCGGAGGCCCCTCAAACTCTAAGTGTGCCCTTAAGCGACAAGTGAGAATGTCATTGCCGCTTAGCTGGTAGCCTGGGATGCACCTGTAGCGCACAATGTCACCTGGACAGACACAGATGAGGGGAGGGGGTGGGGGGAGGTTATTTTTGCAAAAACCGAGACCAAGAACTGTGCAGGTCAGACTCACACCCAAAATCCCTGTTACCTTATTGGTGTCAAAGGCAGCAAACGAATTCCATTTGGATTCGAAAAACCCACGGGTGGCTCAGGAAAAGTGTTTCTTTTTATCTCAAAAAGGGTTTACCTTCAAGATAATCCCACGTGTCATAGTGGCCTAAAACTGAATCCTCGACGGTGATTGCTCCTTTTAGGACTGTAAATCGTAAATCCTTGTCACAGATGCTAAAGGTGGCAGGAACACACCAAAATTATTTCCCAACTGGCAAACAAAAGTAAAGAAATGAAGAAGTCATCGTTTTCGCAACTAATGTGTTTAGCATGTGGCACCGGCCTCAAGGATTTACTTACCACTGACCAGGATTCTATCTTTGGCCACAATGCGACAGGAATCTAGTTAAAGTAAGCCATTTTAAACTAAAAAGAAAAACTTCACCTTAGAAGCGAAAGTTTCGGATCCAACTGAGACTCGTTCGCTCCCCGTCAACATGATTAAGGAGGGGATTTTGGATGCCAGATTGAGGCCTAATTTTATATAAACAAGTCACATCTGAATGTAAGTCACAAGACCAGCCAAACGACAAAAAAAGTGTGACTTACAGTGTAGTCAAAATCTGGTACAGGCAATCAACGTCATACACACGTTTCAAATTGTTACCTATTTTAAACTCTTTGCTTGCCATCAGGATCTCTGCATTGGGAACGATGGTGGGAGGGAGACAGAACTGCAGCCTGTAAGCTTCAGTGACAAGAAAAATAACAAAAGAATATGAGTTCAACAAACCCCATGTTACACCATACAGGATGTACTGTGAGTTGCAAAAAGAAGGAGCTACCTTGATAGTCGATGTGAAACAATCCGCCTTTCTCCGTGTTACTCCGAAAACGGATCAGGACCTGATTTGATGTGCTCCGAGGAGGATCGTTGGGCTCTCCATCAGTGAACACACCCAGTTTCCTTGCTGTTTCTTGCGGGCCATCCCTAGAGACAACAAAGCCTTCTCAGAGACGAGAAAATATTACGACGCACGACAGGAACACTGCATCTGAGCATGGAATGAGCGATCTGGACGGGACCGTGGATACTAACTAGCATCGGATGGGAACGTCTTTGGAAAATGTCGGCCAATCGGAGCGGTCCCTCGGCGCAGCAATGGCCGATCAAGCCAGCTCCCGGAATTATACCACAACCGTTCAGTTTAAAAACCATCTGTCTTTGGCTGTCAGAGTGGGCATGGGAGATTACAAGCAGCTCTGCAAATGGCTGGCTGGGGACTGCTGCCTGACTGCATTCCGGCCAAGTTACCATTACGGGGCCCATTTCCTTGGCTCAGTAGTTCAGTGGGTAGAGACACAGAGGTGGCAAGTCGAAACTGGGGAACATGATAGTCCACATCTTGGCTCAATGGGACCTTTCTGAGAAACATCCATCCAGAAGGGCCAAAAAAAGCAAATACACGATGGAAACATTGTTTTCCACTCCTTTTTGTCAGACAAATTGGCGACCCCCCCCCAAAAAAAACAAACAAACAAGATCACTCAAGGTAAAATCTGCACAGTATAAACCTTGAGAAGCAGTTGAATCAGATTGTGAGTGGAAAATTGATCTGAATCTACTGGGATAGACATGCAGTCATCCCATTGCCAGGTTGGTTGGCAATCAAAACGAAAAAAAATGAGGTTTCTAGAGAGTTCTTTGGAAAGGGTGAGTGAAGAAGGACTGGGAAGCGTTGGTCGCGCATGTGAAAATGTCAGCCATACACGACAGATTCCATACCAAACAGTGATGAAGTCGTGTGGGCCGTGAACGTGAAGTAAGGTAAAGTTGAGCTTGATTCCAAAGCCAGGAGCCACAGTGATCAACCAGGAGCAGTCAGCTGAGTTGAGGTATTCTTCTGGGTAGCGTGGAGAGAAGATGGTCCCGTTGTCCGAAGTGATGTTTCCACCACACGGCACTGTGACATCGGAGAATTAGGAACGGCTTTAAAATGGCCGGGAATTCATCATTACAACGCGGTCTGTAGTAAAGCAGATTGCAGCCTATGATGCAGAAGGAAAGCCTGCGAGTGGTGAAAAGACAGACCGACCATCGGCGAACTGAACATTGATACCGAACACATCTTATGGGCGGGAAAACGTGATTCACCATTCAAACGAGTGTCCAATTTTGCTACATCTGCATCCATTCAGATTAAAAAGCGAACCTAACATTTCCACTGACACCCAAACCTCCTATTTAGCAGCGCTGCAACCATGACGGAAGACCTCTTAAAGTAATCACAGTCGTTTAGACGTCTCAAGCAGCCGAGACAAGCAGTTGAGATTAATGACACACCCTCAGACGCCGATGTGTACACAATCGCTCCCAAAGCTAAAATTGCTTTTCTTTTCTGTTTTCTCAGAGGCACAAAGGGGTCGTGTGTCTGTGTGGGTTCAGATTATTCAGCCGCCTGATGTGCAACAGCGGAGACCCCTCAGCTAGCGTCTCATCTGTTAGATGAGTTATCGATTAAAACACGCTGGACAAGTCATAGAATTGCTCTTCACTCAAGCTTGGAACCAACCAGCGTGCGACCGACAGTCCGAAAGAGTGCGTTAACTTGAAACGCAAACACACAAAATGGCGTGAAAATATGAGCTAAAAACATGGGTGACTTTCGAGTCTTTTATTCATGTATTTTTGGTTAGGACTGTCCTAAAAAGTCATGTCATATTCCAGGATACTACAACGACGATCGACAAAGTTGACGTTCTTTTGAACCTACCTTCGCAGCGGGGGAAAGGATGATCCCAATTGCGGGTTGTGCCGTGTTCGCAAGTGAGGATGGAATGTCCCACCAGCTGGTATCCAGGCAGACACTCGAAAGATATGGACTGGCCCACGTTGTAGCCGGCACCCACCACCACCCCATAGCGGAAAGGCTCTGGATCCGGGCACTCTTGGAGTTCATAAGCTGCGGGCAAGGCAAGCGGATGACGGAACCATGAATGATGCAATCGGAACTAAGTGCAATAAATATATTATATATTATATACAAATAATATATATATATATATAGAGAGAGAGAGAGAGAGAGAGAGAGAGAGAGAGAGAGAGAGAGAGAGAGAGAGAGAGAGAGAGAGAGAGAGAGAGCAGTCCTTCTCACAGAGCAACAGGCATGTGTTGGGCTTGAGCCATTTGAAATCGTGTGAGTCGACAGCGCTCTTTACCCCCTTTGGACACAAATATCGAGCAGTGCTTGAGCCTCAAAGAGCCAGGATATAAATATGACAGAAGAAATTGATTTCTATGGATCACAGATTCCCTCTCGTGGGAGATAACGCTTGGAAATGTCGTAGATGTAGCCATGCTAATACATAATACATAAAGATACATTTTCCAATAAGGGAGCGACGGTTTGGGATAAAGTGATTACAAATCTAGAATGCACACCTCACGTGACACTGATAATTACTTAACTTGATGGAATGAGGTAAGAGAATTTTGTCTAAGCATGTCATTATTCATTGTTGTGACCTCATTTTAATGACACTTTTATCATTTTTTTCCAGCCAAATAGCTCAATATATTAAATTGGCTCAACGACCCTGAAGTGATTACGGGTTATATGAAGCTCTGCGGCAGAAATTAACTCTGAATAGTGAGGCCAAGTCACTCCCACAATTAGCAAGCAAAAATTAATCCTCCTGATTATATCAATTATTATGTGAACTGCATATTAAACCAGACAATCCGAAAATAATTTGACAACTGCGCTCTGGCGTGACATCGGCGTTTTTCAACATGGAGGTGACTTACCGTGGTACTCGAACCTGAACCCTGGTTTGTTCTGCGAATGGTCGCTATGGAAATAGACGGTCGTCTCGTGAGAGGTGGTCAGCAGCGAGGAAGGAATATCCTGCCCGCTGAATCGCCCAATGACAACGCTCGTGTCCAGGGGTCCGTTGCGTATTTCCAGGAAATCGTGGTTGGCTTCAGTGGAGAAATTGAGAAACTGGAGGTGGGCTCCTGGCAAGAAGAGAACCCAAAAGATGAAAAAAAATTATTTCATTCACCAAAACCAACTGCACTGTTACAAATGAATGCTCAGATTACGATCGAATCACACACAAATTGAAATGCATCAGCTGGACCTGAGCCATTTGCAGTCAGACACATTAAAATAAATAAATAAATAACCTAATGACTGCTCCTGCTCATCATCATTGTCTCGGGGCAATTAGGAAAATGAATGTGCATATTACAATAATGGTGTGTTGAATGACCCCCATCGTAGTCTGTTTTCTCGAATTCACAAAGCGGACTCATGAACGAAGCGCAAGTCTTCTCCGCTCACCGTTCCGAGCGGAGAAGAAAAGAGAAAAGGAATTCAAACAAAAAGGGCTCACGTCACAAGCCTTGAAAACCATTCCGAGAAAACCGTTTGCTTTCACAGCGCCGAGGGCCAAATTGTGATCGAGGACCTCGTTTGAGCATAGTTAGGAGCCCCTGATTCTTACCGTAACCAACAGGCAGGTAGATTCTCCATGTGCAGTCACTGTTGCTAGGATAGTTGCCAGGGAAACCGGGGCTGAGTATCATGCCCTCCATCTCCTCGTGAATTCCTCCACATTGGGCTAGTGGGAGCCAGTGAGAGCCGTATATTAGCATGGATAGAATATCTTCAACAAATAAATACATTCGGTACACAATAAATACATTCGGTACACAATATAGAGTTGGATTGTATTGGTGAGTACATGGACATCGCAATTATGGTTTTTTTTTTTGGGGGGGGTTTGTTTTAAGAGGGGTAAAATGAATGATGTGCAATACAGTAACTTGAATGAAAAGATTGCCTTCAGCTATGTGTGTCATTCAGCACTGTCATTTTTTTTTTAATTTTCTGCAGACTCTTTCATTGCCAGTGACATCTTTATGCAGCAATTTGCAATTCCAAACTCAATTCACCTTTTTAAAGATCCAGATTTGATATATGTTGTTCAATATATATTTTTTATGTCCAGAAATGCACGTTAAAAAAAAACAAAACTATGAGCTGTCATCTTCAATTCTCGGATGAAAATAAACGGATGACAGAAAAAGAAAAAAAAAAATCAGTTTCGTTCCAGGATTTTTACATACTGGTTTATTGCCTGTTACAGAAACAAATGTTTGCAGTTAGTAGCAATACGGTCAATTAACAATCATATAAAATTCCCACTGGGTGGTCTACAAAATTTGTGAAGCACTGTATGTTGCATGCGTTGCATTTCTTCTTTTTTTTTTTCCTTCGGGACGTCATAGTGGCACATCATGCATATCTTGCTATTTTGTCAGTGTTCCTTTCATCTTAAACCACCGGTGGATACAATTTCCCTGACTGAAATCCAGGACGAGGACTCAAAATAGTTGAAAATAAAAATGATGATGTTATCAAGAAAGATGAAAAGAGACAAGCCCTGAAATAAGACACAAAAAAGATGAAAGCACGTTAAACTGATGTTAAAAGCATCAGCTGACTAAAGCAGAAAAGAGTGAGTAGTCCTGGAAGTGTGTGTGCGCGTGTGTGTGTGTGTGGGGGGGGGGGGGGGGAGCAGGAAGGGGAAAATAAAAGAGAACAGCCTACTTAAGACAAAGGAGGGAGTCACCCCAGAGGAAAAAAAAATATGGATGATATACCATTTTTTTTCCCCCTGAGGAATAAACAATGGCTCAGTTGTCAAATCATCACATAATTTATTGGATTAATGAGTGAGTCCCAACCAGGGTTCTGTCGTGGCACACGTGCCGCTGGAAATCATCCCATTTCATTGAATTCGTCCAGGAATGTTTATTTATTCATCATTGATATCCATGACCGTGACATCGAAGGTACAATGAGGGTCTCGCTCAGAATCTCTGTTGCATAAATACATCAATAAATAAATAAATATTAGTGTCACTGCCCTGCTTTTCAATACGCGGTGGGTTTCTTTTATGTATTTATTTATTTTCTTAAGTAAAGTGGTTGCCTTGGCCAATTAAAAAGTGACCAACACTTGCTTACATAACCTCAAATGCCCAAATTCAGTCTGTCTTTTTGGGGTAAAAAGAGTATCAAGCTATTGATTTGCACCACCCCGAAGGATTAGCATACGACCAGACTTGCTCCCCTTGAAATTGAAAGTGACAATGTAAAGCTGTAGATGCCCACAGTGCCAAGATCACAAGCCTGAAAAGTGAAGTCTTGGCCTTGTAGCACTTTAAATAATCATCTGGGGAGCCAAGGGAGAGAATGATCCCTGAGGAAATGTTGTCAGACCATTGCACAAGGCCAGAAGGATGGCAGAAGAACGTGGAAGCAAATAAGAAAGGCTTATTCTTACCGATGCATAGAGGCGGAGGGTAGTTCCATCTTCGGACAGTTCCAGGCATACAAGTGATATGTGAATTCCCCTTCAAGGTAGAGCATGTGCGGAGGAGACAAGAGGGAAAATGCAACAAACAGCCCGTGAATGAATTGGCACTCGTTCACATCTGGTGCTCTAATTATTTGGAGCAAGCTGCCTGTGGTCTCCAAATGACTTCGTGCGGAGACTAAATTCTGAAATCTAGCAGAAGTGACATCGATCAATGCAGGAGGAGTATTAAAATAAGGATTGGAAGGAGGCGCGCATTGGCCTTCTCCAAAAGGTTACGGCAGCTGGGATTTCACACACACAACCGAGCACACCAATCAGTGGGTCTTGCGATTTTACCTGGAGCGTGTATCCAGGTTCGCACTGAAAAGACACCACATTATTCATCTGAAGGCGCTCCCCGATCTTAACGGCATTCATTGGAATGACTGGCTCTGGACAGCTGGTCAGTGACACAGCTGAAGGGATAAAAGATGAACAATAATTCAGCATTCAATTCAAAACTGTCGTTCCAATGTGTGACCCTTTGTCCAAACTAAACAGCAAGTGAGTTATAAAAACGGCGGTAACAGATTTCATAGTTAACGTACTTTTGTATTCCAGCCTGAATCCGGCAGCAGACACGCTGATATCGGAGAAAAAGTGGAGGTAGAGTTGGTTGGAAGTGCTGTTGAGGAGAGCCGGGACGGTGGTGCCTTGGGGAGAAAATAAATGGCCGGTATTTAGTGATCCTATCTCTGGCTTAGGCTGCCCGTGACTAACTGCTGCTGTTACTTACAAATAACTCAAATGTTGGTTTCCTAACATTTGCATTTTTTCCCCCCCTTGGGGGAAAGAGAGTCAATTACGTCTTGCTATAATAGAGAGATTAATAAAGGTACGGCAAATCAGTTAACGCCACAGACAAAAAGGCACGAGGATCATAATCGGATTGAGATTGATCTGCACACAATTGATCTTTTTCTTGAGAAATCACCAGAGTGACCGACAAAAACGGAGGCGTACAAGTCAACGCAAGGAATACCTGAGAAACTCCCAAGCAAGGTGTCAGTGTTGTCGCCTCCGTCAAACACCTCCAGCGAGTCCCAGTTCTGTTCTGTGACAAAGCTGATGACCTGGATCTGAGGGAAGCAGGAGCATACGGAAGGATCAGAACAGTTCGTCACGAGAGAATATTTGCAATGGAGGAGCTAAACTGTCCCGAAAGTCCCGATACCATCAGCTCTTCCTCTCTTTCGTTTCAGGCATCATTCGGACAGAGACGAGTCCATCGGCATTTGACAGTTTAGGACTTGCGCTTTTTGTAAGCGTGCCGTCCTCTCGTTTTTGGCTTGCCCACTGACATTGCGGCAGTGGGCACCAGTTTGACAAACTCTAGGGCTCGACATACGCTAGCCAGAGCCAGTTTCTTGAATGACGATCACACTAGCCATGTGGCAGAAAGCCTGCGAGTACCAGCGACTGATGAAAATAGCGAAGTCTGAGAGCAAGGGTGAGTATAAAGTCAAGGAAAGTCTGGATGGCTCGCCCGGGACTCAGGGTTCACAAAAATTTCCATTTAGCGGATGTTTCGGTTATTGGGTATCACAAGCTTCCGCTTGGAGCCTTTGTGTAACTAGCCCCATTTTTTTTTTTTTTAGATAAAATGCATTCGTATCGAACGCATGACTTCTGATTGTACTTTTAAAATATGTTCATAGATTCGCGTATCTGTGATATTTTCAGCAATTGAATACATGTAACGCATTAACACTAAATCGATTATGAAGCAACTAATCAGTCTGAATGCTAGTTATGACAAGCGTTAGGACGATATAATAGACATCATTAAACAAGCCTGCTCTTGACATTGGCGCAGTGCGTTTAGGTGGTACGGTTCGATTTTCACATTTAGCAAAGAAGGTCAATGTCACCTCATTTTTCTCTCACTGGACCACAGCCTCTCATTTTGTCATCCTTATAAAATGGGTGTTCTTCAACTGATGGTTATAGATTGTTTACGGGCCAATTAATGGGGGTGGGGGGCGGGGTTGTAGCTGTGACACATCTTCAAGAGATGAGGACGGAGCTCACACATTGATCTTTTATTAGGAGACCACTTAAAATGGCTGTGAAAAAAGGGCAGTTAACTTCTGTGACTTTTCCTGCTGGTGACACCCCAATCTGCAATTGGTGCACTTTGTCCACAAATGTAAACGGCAACGCAGCAGTGGAGACTGAAGCTACTTGGGAACGTGTCGTTGCTTCCGGTGCAGCAGCTCATAAATTTCAAAAATGTAAAACAATGAAAAAAAAAAAACAAAACAAAAAAAAAACAAATCTGGATCATCCACCCCGATGAATTCTCTTTTGTCCTTTGTTTGACAAACTTAACTTGAAGCGCATTGGCAAACAGACAGATGCAATATAAATGTTTTGACTCCAAGCAGATTTCTGCCATCAGCCATATTGCGAGGTTGCGTTATGAAAACGAGCCTTTTTGTGTTTCTCCGTACGAAGACAATGACAACTGGGACAATGACCGAGGAAGACAACAGATGAGGGGATTACATGACCGAGAGGGGTTCTGCCATCAGCCATATCGCGAGGTTGTGCTATGAAAACAAGCCTTTTTGTGTTTCTCCGTAAGGCATGAAAAACGCCACGAAGACAATGACAACTGGGACAATGACCCAGGAAGACAACAGATGAGGGGATTACATGACCGAGAATGAAGACAGAAGAGCAAACACCCTAAAGTGGCGCATCCCCTTTTCAAAGTACTATGTCAATGATGGGAAATGTCGCCTGTGGATGGGAAGCTTTTGAAAAAGGCAACGCGCACACACAACCGATGTGTGTGGTACATTGACATTAAGGGTGTTGTGTCATATTTCTGACCCGCAGACATTCAGCTGGGAAGGCGGGGGGCTAATAGCTAAGGGACAGCACTGAGGTCATTAGCCAGAGCAGCTAAACCGTACGCCAAGAAACTTTCCATCTGGCCAAAACCCAAAGGACTCAGTGACAAACTCTTGCAAAGACGACTAACTCGGGAGAAACGGGAATGCACACTCATCACGGGTACAATGTCATCCAATTTGATTCAGAAATTTGTTTTTCAACATTCCTCCTGCTTTGCGTGCAGAACTGCTCATTAGCTGTCAATTAGTGCCTGGTCAGCTAATTAGACACTACCATATGGGCCAGGACGATGCTCAGTACACAACGTGAATGAAAAGGTTAACGTACATGTTGGAAAATATAACATTTGCAAATTTAACCATACGGTGCTTTGAATGATTGATTGTTTTCTTATCCAGGTCCTCTTTTCCTGAAGGTCATGGAAATGTGTTTTTTTGCAGGAAACCGTTCATGACCCTCTGCTCCCAGTTTAAATCCAATTCTAACCTGGATTCCTGACCCCTCTGGAACCGTAATCTTCCAGACACAGTTGAGGCTGTTGAGGTAAGGCTCCGGAAACCCAGGTGATAAAATGGTCCCGGTACGATGGGTGAGATTAGCTCCACATGGACAACATTTCATTTAATTGCAGGATCATCAAGTCTCATACCGTAGAGAAAAGGAAAAGTCTTCAAACAAACATCTGGTAAACACATCTGGTACAGCTGCCCGTGTGTGTGTGTGTGTGTGTGTGTGTGTAACTACGGAAGAGAGAAGCAAGAGAGCAGCATATTAACCATCTCACACTTTCAGAAATAGCTGTGCATATACATATACATATACATATATATATATATATAGACTTGCCAATGCTTTTCTGGGTTTACTTATGAACCGCCTGCCACCTGCGTGCTGCATGGCTGCAGACTGTCTCTACGGGCAATGGCTTCCAGCACAAATCTCTGTCAGGTTAGCACAAGGCTCACACGCGAGGCAACTTGTTTGAAGGAGAGAGAAAGGATGGAAGGAAGGAAGCCAGAGTGCGTGTGCTTGTTTTTCTACAAGAACCGTGTCCTACCTATGCAGCTGGGGATGGAGCTGTTCCACTGCGCCAGCGCGTTGGGCACTGTCAAACATTCGATGGCGGCCGATCCCTCGAGCACATAACCTGGGCTGCACTCAAAGCGAATGACGGCGCCAACGGCGAAATTGTTGCCCATTCGTCGGCCGTTGCGGGGCTCGGGGACAGAGCTGCACTGGGTTGCGCTGGTCCGTGGCACAGCTTTGTAGAGCAAAAGGAGGCACATAAACAATTCAATGTGGATCCCGAAAAAAAATAGATATGACACTTTTCGCCACTGAATACACTCGTCATAAAGATTCAGAATGTTGACGAGCATGCCCATGTTTTTTTCTTGTGTAATTTACATGTATACATATTTCAATCAAAGCAAATTTAATCTTAAATGGCGGCATGGTGGTCGTCTGGTTAGCACATCCGCCTCACAGTGCAGACGTGCAGGGTTCGATTCCAGCTCCGGCCTTCCGGTGTGTCATTTGCATGTTCTCCCTGTGCCCGTGTGGGTTTTCTCCGGGTACGCTGGTTTCCTCCCACATTCCAAAAACATGCAGGGTAATCTCATGGAAGACTCTAAATTGTCCCTAGCCGTGATTGTGAGTATGTATGGTTGTCTACTTGTGCCGCGCAATTGGCTGGCAACCCGTTGGGTGCGTACCCCGCCTACCGCCCGAAAACAGCTGGGATAGGCTCCAGGACGCCCCCGTGAAGAGAAGTGGCTCGGATAACGGATGGATAGTCCTTAGATGTTGAAGAGCTAATATGTGTGTGGCGCCACCGGCGTCATCGACACTCACCCTGGTAGACCAGATGGAATCCCCTCGAGCTGGATTGGCCTTTCGAGGTGAAGCGTATCACGATTTGGTTGGTCGTCGCCAATGGCAATGACTCGCCTGAGATAGAGAGTGAAAAAAACCGAAATAATTTGCAGTGTTACAAACCAAGTGCCTTCAGGGCATGCCGTCTATGCGTGGGCGCTGCACACTCTCATCTCTCCTGGTTTCAGTCGGGTGAGTGTGAAATACAGACGACTATTCACGCTTGGGGCTCATCACCGATACCGCGCTCGGCTTTTGGGCCAATGCAGACATCGAAAGGACGTTCTCCACGTTGGGAAGGGGTTTGAATGTCAGCTGAGCCATGGCTCACGAGCAAGCCACCTGTCCAAAATGAAGCCGCGCTCTGACAGTTTGCACGCAGGGCTAATTGAACCGCCGAGAACTGAGAAACACAAGACTATAATTACATATACAGATATTTGAATATCCCTTTTGACTTTAAAGCGAAAACAAAGACACGAAAAGGATTTTGACTGGGTTTTTTTTTTCCTTTTTGATGATGATCTCAAACGGCGCACAACATCTTAATTAAACCCTTGTGATGTTCCTACGGAGATGGGAGGCACAGAGCATGATATCATGCTTGAGCATCTCTGCCTCTCAGTCTTTGGTGCTCGAGCTGCTGACTGCCCCTCGGCGGAGGATCTCATTACACCGTGTCTGCATGCTGTCACACTGTAGCGGGGAGGCAGACATCCTTAACCCCCCACCCCCCCAACCACCCAGAGGAAACATCACACTATGTGTGTATGTCTGTATATCTCCCCAGCCTCTACGGTCATTTTACTCTGCACATATGTTGAATGTATCTGTTCCTGTAACATGTTGCGCCATCGGAGAACTGCGACCGCACGTCTCCTCCGCAAGTGTCACGGCCACGACCGCTCGGGCGCCGCAGCGGAGGCCCCCCCGGGGCACGCTGGGCAGTTAATTGCAGGAAGCCCCAGCAGAATGCTGTCATGGTGACCGATTCCTAATTCGCCGCACAGGGGATGCGTTCACCTGAACAGATCAAACGCGGGCCAGCATCGAGTCACCGGTCAGCTTCCAGCTGCAAAGCAGGCCACACGTTTACAGCTTCTCGGCACTCATTTGAGGGAAAGCCATCAGGACTGTTTGGGGTGGAGCCAGACCCCAAAAGGAGTTGATTTAGGTTCAGCAATTATGACTTTGAGTAACGCTCCAGCTGTTAAGCAGTAAACCTGCAAGGGGATGGAGTCGATTTGGGAACGTGAGAACAGATAACGCACCTTTGCAGACCTTAAGTTTGTCTTCCTTTGCCAGAATGCGTGAGCTCTGCTTTGCTCTGCCTACTTGGTAAGTTCTGCGAGTTGGCCGACAGGAGTCCCCTGTTAATATAGCGTCTTGTTTATTGTGCGATAAACTAGATTTTTTTTTTTTTTTTTTAATCCCCAGCCTGCCCTGGACGCAAAGCAAAGGAATCATAATTTGCTTTTTGTCAAGTCGCAGACTGACCGAGATACTGACGCGATGATCTGATTTAGCTCCCTTCCTACTTTTTGAAACTTTTCGTATGTACGTTTATCTCATTCAAGCGAGTTGTTTACCATCTTTTGTCGAAATGATCAAATCTGTCCATCTATTGTATGAGAGATCCAAAATTGTCCTCGTGAAAGCTTGCACATACGCGTGCTTGTGTCCCACTAATATTCTCATTGCATGCAATCTTGAGCATCTCTCATGATTTGTTACTCCCGCGACGATGCAAGTTGATGCAATGATTCTGACAATTTCAAGCCACTGCTCCTGGATACGAAGGTAAAGCTGTACAAGTCGTGTGTGACATTCCATCACCCCCTACACGCATCGATGTAGCTTGTCACTCTCCCAACCCAGCTAGCATGTATGTCGGTAGAGGTTCTCCATATGCCTTTGCATGCATATGCAAGTAATATGTGCGCGTATTACCTGTGTGCGCTCCAGACAAAGAGCTAAGAACACGGGAGGTCTGTGTCGGCCCATCAAAAACCTCCACGACATCATTCAGAGCTGTCTGGAAGAATGCAAATTGGCTGAAGACCACTAGAAAAAGATATAAAAGGTGGAGGAATTAGAAATCGCGTTGTGAAATATGGTTTCAATCCACACGTGGACCACGGGCGCGAGAAAATACCAACCATTTCAAAGCACGAGTCGCGGCTGATGTGACAAAAGGGAATATTAATACGACGGTCTTGACTTGACGGTTTGTCAACGGATGAAAGGTTTTCTCGCAATGACAACCAGTCGAGCTCAGCGCTGTCACCTTGATCCTTGAAACCAATCCTCTCAAACGCTACTGCCGGAGCATATTTAACCTTTCGCAGCTAATCTGCGTCGCCTTTACAAGTCGAGGAACAAAGAGGATAAGCGGAAAGCGGAGGGGAGTGAGGGCGCGCCAGAGGTCAGCGCGTTTCATCAGACGTGAAACTGCAAAGTAATAATCGGGCGTCCGCGGCGCCCATTAACTGATCATCAATGGATGGCGCCATGCATGCATCGTCTTTGCCCACATTGCAGAAAGAAAGGCCTCAATGAATGGCAGTAATATTTATTCTTGGCCCTTGGAATCATTTTCTAGGAAGACGCAAGCGTGGTCTGTTGCTTACTGCCAATTCCGTCACAGTCCCTCGTGGGGACTCGAACGGGAGGCGCGTCAGCCAATTTATTTGAATCATCGCCCGTCTTCTAGTGGGTATTGCAACTTCAGCATTTACCACACACGGGCACAACAAAGCGAGTGGCTCAACGATGATAGGACATGATCGTTGCCTGCGAGAACCACGCAACCAACATGTCTTTTCCCCTCTGAAATGGAATGAGTATGAATCGTTTTTTTTCGTTTTCAGTGGCTTGCGGCTTTTTGATCGCATTTTCGCATCAGGACGCTTTTTTTTTTTTTTTTCTTACGATGGAAATGTCAAAAGGCTCAAAAAAGCTTGATCTTCCAGATACCAATTAGGGGGTTGGGTGTTTCCCCCGCTGGATGTGTAAAACACCGATTTAAATCGCTCCGGTGACAGTAACATGCGGTCGGGCGGCTTTCAGGTGGTTTTATTTTTACAGGTGGTGTCACGATCACCGCAGGGTTCTCAGTCTCTTTGGAACGGAGAAATAGTGACGTCAAGTGGAAAATCAGAGGGCAATTAAATGGTAGGAAGGTGACAATAGGAACCCCCCCCGAAAGAAAATTGCCGATGGTAGATTGCTGAAAAGGACATCGTCACTTTCACGAACATCAGATACCGACTCCAAATTACAGGGAAACGTTGTCAGAAAACCGTCAATGACAGAGTTGTGAAAAGAAACCTGACCATCAGCTTCACGGGAGAAAACTAACAAAGGTGGACTTGTCTCGGCTTATACCAGCAATATATGATGGAAACGATCTTACCATAATCTTGGGGAACAACCACAGAGTAAAGACAGATCCTGGCGCTGCTGTAGTTGCCAGGGTAACCAGGAGACAGGACCACGCCTTCCAAACCAGAGTACTGCCCGCCACAGAGTGCTAAAAAAAAAAAAAAAAAAAAAAAGACAGCCAGAGGAATTTTAGAATACATACAGAATACAAAATACAGGCGTGTAATTTGAAAGTGCTCTATAAATACAGTTGAGTTAAGTTGCGTAATTAAATCGATTTCGGTTTGCAACTTTATGTTCCGCTTCGGTGTACCATTCCACTAATAAGCGTAAACCGCACGAACCGCCTTCTTAACTCTGACATAAAATGCCATCAACTGCCGTCAACAATGTTTTGTTTGTTTGTTTGTTTGTTTAGTGGGGACAAGCGGAAAAAAGACGTTTTGTTTTGTTTGTTTGTTTAGTGGGGACAAGCGGAAAAAAAGTGTTGGCGAACTCCGGTTCGATCATTAGGTGTGAAAGTGAAAAGAAAAGTGACTGTGGTTTTGGGTGAGCTCACACAACAACGCGTAAGCTCTTAAAACATGGCGGACCCTTGTTCATGCGACTGCTAAAGGCATCTTGTGATTGATCAAAGTGTTTGTCATGTTAAAATGGCTGCAGAGTGTCACACAAAAGAGAGAAAACGTGGCCGAGATGATTTAAAATGAAGAATGTTTGTTTATATGAGATCAATCTAGAAGCATTGGTATGGAATGTGTGTGTGCAAGGGACTATCTCCAGATGTCAGTGTTTACCAGTGCAGATGGGTTTGGCTTTGTTCCAGCTTGGCTTGCCATCTGCTCCCATGATGCAAGTGAGGGTTTGTTCTCCCTCCAGCGTGTAGCCACTGTCGCAGTGGTAGCTGACGACGGAGCCCAGCTTCAGTTCGGTTCCCGCCCGCGACCCGTTGCGCACCAGACCCGGCTCGAAGCACGACTCCCTCGGGTTCTCTGTGTGGAAAGAGGGAAAAAAAAAAATAATAACCATCAGCCATGTTCAACACATGTTGACATCGAGGAAATAGAAAGGACGAATCCCACTGTTCTTTTGTAGGCTCTGACGCGTTCACTTCGGCGCTTTTCTATTTTTTGCAACCCTATCGCAGCGGCTGTCTTTTCTCTCTGGCCCTCGAGAGCGCCGTCTCATCTATTGCTGCGGAAGCTATGTGTATCTCTTGGGAGATAGACAGGCAGCTGATTGAGAGTGGCACCTATCAGGAACCGAGGTCCACTGAGCGTGTGCAACTGCTCCTCTCGGAACTCGGTCGCGCATTCGAGTGGAGAGGACAATGCACATACGCATGCGCTCAAACGCGGCTGCAAAAACTAGACGCAAACACACACTAGCATCCACTTATAATGGTGGAAGGCAGACTCATTGCTCAATCTGTCACATAGTTCTCAGGTGACAAAGACCCGCGTGAAAGGCCACCGGTGAATTCTGTATGATTCCCATCCCCTGATCTCAGTCTTATTCCATATCTGACTAATACCCCCCCCCATGTGCATCTAAGCAAAACCATGCCCGAGGACCCTGGCATGGGTTCTCTGCACCTTAGCAGGGCTTCTGTTACAATTTCCTCTCGTTCCACCGCCTGCAGTTCAGCTCGTTGTGTACTACGAAGTTGATTTGATTCAGTAAATCAGTGTCCAAATCACTTTCACCATGCATTGAAGTCATTCTCATAAAATGGACTAATGGATCTAATTTTACAGGATGTCCCCAAAGCAAATGCGATCAACAGGTCGAACACCCTTCTTCGGACACATTTTATGATTAAACCTGTAAAGACCAACAGCAAGCAACGGCTTTATTGTGGCAACAGTTGCAGTTGCAAAAGAGCTACTGGAGAACAAGCATTTTTCTTTTACACAGAAGAAAATGGATGTGAGACCTCCTCCCATAAAAACAAACAAACAAACAAATAAACAAACAAACAAAAAAGACCAAAGAGATGTGATGTGAGGTCAAGTGAAAACAAGCCCAAGGGTGAATGAAAGCATTGGATGAGAAAGACGCCAAGAGTTAAGGATGTTTGCTTTGTTGTACGCCCGTCGACATCGCGATGCGTTATTCAAATGTTATCCGGCCATGGAACGTTTGTATTTGTGCCGACATCTTTCCCCAGCGAGCCTCATCAGACACTGTCTGAGACCTGGAAACAAAAAGAGTGCTCGCTAAAGAGACTAATCGCACCTCAGGCATTCTGACCAAACACTCACTGGGCTTTCTTGTTAACTTGCCTCTGCTCAACAAATACCCCGACCCCGAATCTGAATCCGACCCGTAGCTTGATGAGCTTTTTTCGCCATGCTGTTTGCTCAACAGTACATTTGCAGTACGTCAACGTCTGGAGAGTTCGGTAAGCACATTTGTCTACATGCAAAAGTAGCCGAGCTCTGAAAGCGACAAAACTGGCGTGCTCTGTTGGAGGCAAAGCAAACACCAAAAGAGCTCGAGCACGACCGCAGCCACCTTTTTGTCTTAAGTCATCGATTCGGTCGGCCTCCAAGGTAGGCATTGATCAATACTCCCTTCCAAGGAATCTCACTCACCCCAGACGAGTGCAAAAAGGAAGCGAGAAGAAACAATGTGCACAAAGTGCAAACCTGTGTACTGAAGCACAAATCCATTGCTGCTGAGGGAGGCATCGCTGCGGAAGGCCAGGAAGAGTGTGTTGGAGCTGCTCTCGATCCGATCGGGAACATCCGTTCCATAAAAGCTTCCCAGCAAAGGGCTCAGGGAGTCTGGCCCATCATAGATATGTAAGAAGTCATAACTGGGCTCCAAGCTGAATCTGGTTGAATGAGAGAACAGAATATTTGGTGATGATGTGGTTTTCTGCAGCAAAAAAAAAAAACCCAAATATACTTGTGGGAGGATTGCAACGGATGAGAGAGGAAGAGAGTCACTTGATCTTACTGGTTGAAGCTGAGGGCGATGACATAGTCCTCCGTGACAGTAACAGTCCAGTCGCACTCTCTCCCATGAGGGTACGGTTCCGGATAATCCGGAGAAAGGATGAGCCCGCTTGGACCGCTCAGATTTCCTCCACATGGAGCTTTGCGGAGGCAAGAATTCAAACAATTAGGTCAATTGGGAATCTGCCTAAACTGCAGCAAAAGTAGATTCTTATTTATTTATTTTTTTTGATTTATTTTCCTCGCAGAGCACCAATGCTAAGAAGTGCATAGCCAAAGTCAAGCCAAGGCAGGCTGTGTTGTTTGTGGAGCGGCATTCTAATCAGATATGTCTGTTGCAGCGACTGTCTGGGACACCATGTAATCGAATTTGCCATTCAAGATTCAGTTAGTCTATCGGGGAACTGTTTCGTCTAACCTTTTAAGAAGTCAGACGAGCCACAGAGGTTATCTAGCAGTTGCTGGTAAAAAAAAAAAAAAAAAAAAAAAAACTACTTGTTCAATCGGATGGAACGTTATTAAGTCCCGAACTTGCTCATCGCACGCCATATGCTGATATGAGCCACAGGTCTCTTCGCACGCTGTGCTTGAAAGGTTTTTGTACCTGTGCAAGTCGGAGGGTCCGGCTGCCAGAAGTAGCGACCACTGATTTCCGTGCAGGTGATTTTGTTGGCACCCTGCAGGATGTAGCCGGGGTCACACTGGAATACCACACGGTCCCCAGGCTCCCTGCTGTCACCGCTGCGGGTCCCATTAGTCGGCATGCCCGGGTCATTGCATGAGGTGGCCGTGGAGACTGAAGAAGCAGCGGAAGGAAAAAAGAAACCTCGCTGAGATGCAAGTTCTGATTGATTCTTTTGAGGAAAAGTTATCAAAATCCGTCTCTTTCATCGTATCTGCGAGCGTCATGACCCTCAGCCTCACCGGAGAACTGCACGGCAAAGCCTTGCTTGCTCGTGAAGAAGTCCGTGGTGAATTGCAGACTGATGGTGTTGAAGGTGCTGTGAGCGTCCGGCGGCAACGCCGAGCCGCTCAACTCCCTCAGCGGCACCCCCCCATCCTGGGGCCCATCCCAGATGCGAAGCACGTCATGGATCTCCTCGGTGTGGAAAACCAGGAAATGCAAACTGGTAAGGGGAAAAGACACATTGAAAACACTTCTCAGTATAATGCAGCGCAGTTTGAGACCCCCGCTAACCAAACCGCCCTCACACACCACAAAACTAATCAAAACCCAAACGAGACTCTTGTTACCGCTGTGAAGTAGGACTAGACAAAACTACCTTCTGTGTATTTGTCATCATTATGTCACGAAAACAAACCGGCGCAAAGACGCAAGCCCTCGAGTACAGTCGAGCGTGAGGAAATAAACGGATCGTATGAAACGGCAATGCGTGACGATGAATCGGCGCACCAACGGAGGTAATGCGTTTTAAAATAACAGCAGAGCGAAGGCTGCTCAAAGAAGAAGGGCAGGAATCAAGCAGAGGGACAAACGGCATTTTTAAATATAATCACAGGCAGCAGATGCGGCCCGTTCAATGGCTGTTTTGCAGTGTCAGTCAAGCAGCTACCATCGGCCCCAGCACTTAATTTTCAGCCTCTACATCAGAAAGATGTCGCTGTCAAAATATGTACTCTTTACTTTCACCAGCGACAGCTATCATCCAGCTGGATGTTCCAAGCCGGCGAGATGTGAATGCGCATGTTTGAGCGTGCAAAAAGTAGGCCAGTCTTGAGTGCGGCGGATTCCGAACGGCCTTTTCGATTGCTTCCGGTCTTGAACGTGTACAAGGAGATATTTTACACCAACTGGCTGTCAATATTTACTGTTCACGCCTACTTAAGGTCAAGTTTTGTTTTTATTTTTTGTACACACAATATAGAGAGCATGTCAGTCTTGATAACAATCACTGCACCCCCGCGCTGACTCATTCCTTTAAAAATAAATCAATAAACTCAAAAAAACAAAAAACAGGTGTGCTGGGATGAGATGAGAAGGCGCAGGCAAATGATGGGGGGAGCTTGGCTGGAAGATGTAAAAGAAGCGCCAGTCAAAGTGACACGACGTTTTCTCAACCGCTCCACCGGGGTCATGCAAAATCTTAAGTGGATGTCGCAAACGTGTCACAAATCTCAAATATGAAGGACTATCGTCGAACCGGCAGGCCAGCCGCGTTCATGTTCAGGCTTTTGTAACCACATACAGTATGTCTGTACAAGCACAGGACGAGAATATGATCGGCGTTCCATGTTACGACATAACACGGACATTGGATTCGTATTGATGACAAAGTATGGAGTCATTTTCCTTAAGGATACACTAAAAGAACACTTGTAGTACAGTGTATGCGGGTATGCTGACTTCAGCTTGAAAGTTGGACGACTAGTCCGGCAAACGGTTAAATACAGCAAAAAGCGGCCTTATAAAATCAACCACAAGCGCACACACGCACGCACACGCAAGCAACGCCGAGTGTTTGGGCCTCAAATGATGCGGAGGAAAAACAACAACCCGCTGCCATGTTGACGTCGAGAAACAACTTCCAGCCGCGTTAGCATAATTGGTGTCAGAATCGGATTTCCACAACGTGTGAGGCGCGGGCGGCGGCCACAGGCTACTCGGCAATGTTCTGTGAAGGCCAATACACCACCACCGAGCTGATTTGTCAAGTTGCCAGAATTGTGAACAATGTGCGTGTACAAAAAAAACAAAAAAAAAACACGAACGAGCCGGAAATTGTACATTCACATTCACACGCACAAAAAAAACAAAACGGATGGGAATCATTTAAATGGAATGCACAGAAAACACAGCCACATTAAATCTCCAAAATACGACCAATGCTTATCTCAAAAGGACAAGTAGACAATTAGGAGCAGAGGAATGGCTCTCTCAAAGAAAAAAAAAAAACAAAATTAAGATTGGCTGTGATATCGAAAATCATCTTCGGAGACTTGCTCAGACCAGATAGAGAATCATCAAATAAAATGGAACTTCTTTGCTTACCCTGCAAAGCTATAAACGTGATTGCGCTCACCGACGCCTCAAGCCTCAAGCAGGACACGATAAGCTTACCAAATATATTTATGAGCTCATCAAGGACGGTGCGTTCCCACAGACTCCGTAAAAAAAAAAAGAGAGGGGAACTGATTCTGTAACAGTGAAATTTGAGGTTTTAGTGAATGAAATGTGGATACGCATATGGGGTTTACTTATTAAAAGGAAGTATACAGTTGGGTGATTTTCATTTCTTTCTTCTCCCTGAAAATTTGTTACCCAAGACCGATAGCACGACGAGGACGGACGGGTTGAATACTCACCAGACCTCACTCAAAAGATTTCTTCTTTTGGGGTGTCAAAGACACGCTGACGATTGACCTGTCCGCGTGATGCGTAGATTCAGAAGAAAAGCATGCCAAGATATTGATAACAAAAAAAGGCCTCCGCCACAAGGTCTGCTTGTGTGTCAAAACTAGTCATGTAATTGTGACTGAATAAAATTATTGTTTTTTTTTTTGATCATGTAATAAAAAGGATAACTAGTGTGCCCCTCACTTACAAGAGCATAGTTGAGGACTTGTTTTTTTTTTTTTTCCCCTGCCACTTCCTTATAATCAGGGCAGTGTCCGGCGAACCAGTCGGGCTTCTTGCTGTTCATCAGTTTTTGTTTGTTTTTTTTCTTTTGGATCGTAACTGTTCACTGAATTGTGTCACTCTTTACTCGTGCCCTGCGCAATGATCATGACATTTGATACCACGCCCACTTTTGCATCCCCCTGTACGTGAGCCTACCGACATCAATGAAAGGTGTTTTGATGTGCAGATTGTTGCATGGGTATTGCGCTTTTGTTCCAAGACAACCTTCAGGCCAGGCAAACATCGAACGGCATCATGTTCTATTTTGAGATTTATCTGTTCAATGACACACATGAGGGTGCGTGTGTGTTGGCTCATGGCGGGCGAAGGATCTGAAATAATGAGATGTGCTGGATTCCAATCAAACATAACCTATCGTTCTGGATGTGTGATGTAGATGCTCTTAAAACAAACATGGAAGGCGAGCAAAAGTGTGCTGGGTTCTTTGGCGTCATATTTTTACAAGCCTGGGTGGGATTCATTCGACTCCAATTTTATGGAAGCGTTTGCTTCGGACACGCATCATCGGTTGTGTTGTGGAGAAACGCAACATAGTTCTCAAAGAAAAAAAGGTTTTGTCGTCCCGTGTGCAAATCACAGCAGAATAGAAAGTTGGGTCATAAAGCTTTATAGGGCGGGGTTTTATTCTTCTACTCTTGTCCACTTCTTAATGCGATAGAACAGGTCAATCAAGTGTCACACGAAGGAGACAAGATAGGCGAGGATGCAATTTATTGGTGGTTTTGGATTCGGCTTGAACTGTTTTGTATTCAGATGAAAGAGACAGAGAGAGAATTGGAGAGCGCTCTGAATACAAAACAGTCAAGCTGCAATCGCAAATTCTGTGGGGAGCCCGGCGAGGTGTGTGTGCAGATGATTAAATGCAGGACAATATACACGCGTGTGTGCATGCGGATGGAAAATGAAGAGATGTTAACACATGCGCGGCTACATACGGGTACACATTGGGAAGGCGGCTTAGCTTAGGTGAAATGACATGACCGGAGCTGTTAGCCCCCCACCCCCTTGCTATCAATATTATTTCTTCTTTTAGGACTGACGGTTGTGCTTTTTATGTATTATTGACACACTTGACTTTGTACTTGATGTGAAACTTTTTATCTCGGATGTTCGTCTGTATTGCTTATTGCTTTGTAGAGCACTTTGGAGAACCGCGCTTGCTTTTAAAGCGCTGAACAAATTGAGCACTGAGAGAACAAAACTGACACGTGAGCATGTGAAAACGATGTTCAAGACCTCAGAAGCTCCACGCTGTGAGGCGATGCTTCCAACCACCGGAGAGCATTTCTCTAATCATAGGGCATGCCACTAAATGCCACTCTCTTCCTTCATGACAGTCATCGGGAAAATAGATCACCCAAGGTCAGTTGCTCCAATTACTGTTTATTTCGTCGCACTCAATCTTGGCGGTGTGCGTGCCACCAGTACTCTCCTCTATGTCAAGTCGGGAAGCTTTTGTAAAAGGTTGCCGTCGTTCTTCAGGAGTTCTCGGTTTTTCTCTCCTAACCCGGAAAATATTTGTGCCACCTTCAGCCATGCCATTTGCCCCACGAGGAACCCCTTGACAAAATGCATTGCATATTCTTCTTAAGAACGAATCCTGCGGGCTGGATCAAAGGCACCTTCGGTACGTGAAGAAGGCCTACGGATGACAATGCCGGGGAATTCGAGGCGACACATTCACTTTTATGAAGAAGGAAGAGGGATGCAAGGATGGCTGATGCGCAAAATAAGTTGATGATGCAGATGCAATGCTAAGCCAACGCTGGATAGAAACGTGCATTGTAGAAGGAAAGAAAACAGGCTGGGCTGTTGTTCTTGTCGGTCTGCCGTAGTCCCGAGAAGGCGTCGTGGCGCACACCTTGCACAAAAGGCATTTGTATGCAAGCTAAAGCGCCATCCGGAAATGCGTGAGTCATACAGTGAGTTCAAATGAAAATAGGGTAAGTCGTTAAGCCCCGTAAATGTGCACAGCGCCTAATCACTGTCACTTACAAGTGCACTTGTGTGCAGTCATCTCACTCTCGATACTACTTTGTATTATGATACGATATCGCTTGCGTCTCGAGTGCGGCTCGCATTTCAATGCTGCGCGTGCGAAGAAAACCGACAGTGGTCTGGACACGCCTACAGGCTGTTCTTCCAAATGGAGAATAAGGTTGAGATGACATTTCGCCTGGGGAAGAATGCACGTTCAGATGAATCCCATATTTTTCATTGTGTACTTCGGTCGAAGCTTGGCGAGCCCAAATCGGGTGCTTCTTCAAACAACAACCTGAAAGAGGGACTTTGAAGAGGGAGCTAAAGCATTCCCAGGACAGGCAAACAAAACCAATTAGCTGTGTTCAAAACAATGCACAGCAGCCGCACATTAATACATGTCTGGAGAAAATGATGGATAATATTTGGTCGAAAATTGGCCACATGAGGGCTATAGAGACGAATGTTTGCTATTGGATCAATTTCCTTAACCACGACTTTCGTTGACTGTAATTGACAGGCCGCAGGCCGATATCAGCACGCAGACGATTAATGACAGCCTGGATGAGTGACGTGTACCGCAGCACAAATGGAAGGACAAAGAACAAAAGCCAAGACGGTCATCAAACTCGTAGCGCGTCCACCGAGGGAAAACAAAGAGCATATTTCCAACCTAATTGTGCTTCCTGGCGCGGCCTCGATAGTCCAGACACAGTGCAGGTTGTGTTCATACGGGGCTGGGTACCCTGGAGACAGGATGCGACCTGTGGGCTCATCCTTGATGGTGCCCCCGCATTCCGCTAGAAAGAGAAGGAAATATCGCAAGCAGTTTGTCCATATTTCACATGCCATCTCATCTGACAAGAAAGATGTAAGTGCTGTTTGTCTGAGAGCATAATAGATCCTTCACACACAATTGGAGACTGCAGAATGATGCAATTATGGCGTCAGAACAGGACAATTGCGCAAAAACGCAGCAGCCGCTGAACACTGAAGCCAAAATAATATCATATCGAAGCCAGTAATAAAGGTAAAGGACCAGCGGAGAGAGAAATATACTTTTATGATGAATTGACAAACGCAATTCATTATTATGTATTCAAACAGAGCTGACATATCATTTCCTGCCTCCAAAAAAATAGACCTAAGTCACGATCAACGAATGTAAAATGTGAACTGTCCATGAAGCTAAATGAATGAAAATAGACGGCGTGCGCTCGCTCTGCTTTGGCAGTTCATTCCCGAGCCAGAAAGCATTTTATAACCCTGACCATGGAATGATGGCGAGACCTTTGCCTGAGGATCACCAGCTGCGCATATTGGCAAATAAAGCCAAAGATTTCCGAATTAATGACCTGACTCACCAGCACAAAGTGGCAGAGGGCTGTCCCAGGCCCTCCTCTCCCCCCTCAGGCAAGTGAGCACCTCAGGGCCTTTCAGGGTGTAGCCGGGGTCACAGCTATATGACACGGTGCTCCCTGCAAAATGACCCTTGTCTTCTCGCTTGTAGCCGTATTGGGGGAAGCCGGGATCTTCACATTTCACCAGCTCGAAGCCTTGGCGGGAGCGAAAAAGTCAGACATTTAATGCAGGTAGGAAATGTGCCACAGAGTCTTTCGAACGAAATGACACTTCTTACTTACATCGACATTAGGTTATTGATACCAATTTAAAGCAGTAGAAAGGGGGGATTGAAAAATATTAATAAAGGGCTTCCTACAACTCCTCAGTCAGTATTGAGGTTGTGGTAATTATTTCGGGATGATAAATCGCCACCAGATGGCAGGAGTGGCTTTCATCAGTGCGAGCGCGTGTGGGTTGTGGGACTGGGATCCGACTCCGTCGCCAGGTGATGTGCGGAAGCAGTGTGGTAGAGTTAACTCTTTCAAATCAAAAAAGGATGACAAAGTCCCATCGTCATCCTTGCAAAAAAGGATGACAAAGTCCCATCGTCATCCTTGACGAATACGCCGGCACACAAAGATACACAAAATTCAGCATTCATGAAACTTCATGAAAGCTTCATGCATAAGTGCAGTGTTTATCTTGCAATAAACTGTTATTATAAATCAATACATAAAATTCACCAGAGTGAAAGTTCTGCTTGAAATGCATCCTTTCGCAATTTCAGAATTTGTTCTCGGAAACGAATATTTTCAAGCAACTTACCAATGTTCAACTGCTGTTTACTCAAAAGTGGTCAAAGGTAGAAAGGTAAATGCTTTCTTTTGCTCAGTTCCGCGCTTACATAGCTACAGAACTCAATTCTCTGTAGGCCCTCAAAAAATGAGTCGAAATGGTGAAAAATGGCTGGCGGCGGCTCTCCCAATTTGAGAAAAAAAAACAAACCACGGCTGGCATTGAATGAGTTAAACTTGAAGGAAAAACCTCACTTACTGTATTACATTTGCGTTACCGGTGAAATTGTGACTCACTGTTGAAGTGGAGCTCAAAGCCTTTACTGGTATTGTCTGCGTTGGTGATAAACTCCAGCCACATGGAGCTCGAGGTGGAGTTCAGGGTTGTGTCCAGCATTTCGTTGCCTGTGAACACTCCGAGCAGACGAGCCGAATTACTGCTGCCATCAAACACCTGAAAAGTGACGCCACAGGGGAGGGGTGGGGTGGGGTGGGGTGGATCTTTATTAAGATGATCAGTGGTTGAGCCTCCAAGCACGCTCACGCGGCTGCAAACGCCCAGGGAGGGAAACTCCTTCCCATCGCTCACTTTGAGTTTGTCGTCTTCCTCCAGACGGAAGTCTCGCGCTCGCAGTTGGATGCCTTTGCCCGGCTGCGTCTGGATGGAGTAGATGCACTCGTGGTTGTTGTCGTAGTAACCGGGGTAATTGGGGGAGAGAAGCACCCCTTGCATGCCAGTCACGGAGGAGCCACATTCGGCTAGAGAGAAAGAGAGGGAACGGGGAGAGCGACGGGACAGCGGAAAGGGCGAAGGGGGGAGGATTTTGGCGAGAGCAGACGACATGTCAATCGCTATATGATTGTGACTCAGCGCACGCGATATCTATTTATTCTCTCATGCATGGGGAAATGAGTGGAGGAGGAAACGATGCGGTCAGAGCCCGTAAAGGAAAGTTGAGCCGTGCATCACTGCAGTGAAATCTGACGATGATTAACACTCATTTTCGCTCCAAAATGTGTTTTTTTCTCCAAGCTCACTCATGGGCTGGAATTTTACATCACTCCAGTGATATCTGACGATGATTAACACTCATTTTCGCTCAAAAATGAGTTTTGTTTTATTTTTTTTCTCCAAGCTCACTCATGGGCTGGAATTTTTTTCAATGACTTCAGGAGTGATGATATCGCTGCCTGTTTAGGGTCCAAGACTCATGGTGAAGTCTTCATCCTTCATTTATTTTTTTTTTCAGTTCAGAGTAAAATTAATATCCATTGATGACATCGCTGCCTGTTTAAGGTCCAAGACTCATAGTGTCGTCTTCATCCTTCATTTTTTTTTTTTTTCAGTTCAGAGTAAAATTAATATCCATGAATACATCTGATGTCAAAATGAAGAGGGGAATTCAATGAATGAGGTCATTCAGTGCATGTGAACAACCTTTTGTGGTGGCATGACGATGTAATGGCGTACGGGGGTGACCAAAGCTAAAATAAAGTATGTGACCACCTACCAACACACCTTGGCAGAGGGGAGCTCCAGACCCGCCTCCGACCCCCTAAGCACACCACTCTCGCAGGACCCTCGAGTCTGTAACCGGGGAAGCAGGAAAAGATGAGGGCATCTCCCACGCCGTACTGGAGGCCCTTTCTGGTACTGTAGGGCGGGATTCCCGGATCTTCGCATGGTTCCAGATCATATTCTGGGGGGGAAACACAAAACCGCAAAAATAAACACAAACATGTGAAGTCATCATTCTAAAAACAACGGTACACTCTTTGTTTGGCTACATAGACAAAGTGCCAGAAACGTCACAATCTTGACAACACTGCGATATAGTGACTAACTCTTTGACAGCACCTTCAAAATTAAATCATAACATCAGCGTCTTTCCTTTTTGGGTGCATTGAATGTAACACAGTTGTAATATAAGCTCCCCAAAGCTCAGCGCCGCTGTTTGTGTCAAGAGCCTGTTTCAAAAACGGCCAAATCACGGAACCCGAGCTCACCGGAGAACGTGATGTTGAAGCCCTCGTACGAAACGGAGAAGTCCGAGAGGAAGCGAATCTGAGCCGTGTAGTTTCCAAAGAGCCCGGCGCTCAGATGTGGAGGCAACGTGGAGCCCGTCAATCTCCACAGGGGCTGCGAGAAGCTGCCGTTCTCCGTCACCAACAAGTGGTCGTGGGGGCTCTCCAGATGGAAAGTGTGGAAGTTAAACTGCACACCTGAAAATGCATGGGGGATCAAAGCGCAGGGTTCAAAATGTCTTTCTTTTTTTCTTTTTTATTAGTTTTTATTTCTTGGGTTTTTACACGCAAAATTCTTCACTTGGGATACTCTTGGTTGTATGGTAGTTCGGTCCTGTGTTTCAGACCAAAATACATTCAGGCAGCTTTTTTTTTTTCCTTGTATTGGACAAAGGTTGATGAGCATATGTCCTAAGTTGATTTCTTGAAATCGTTCGAATAAAGTCACAATTAAGGAAAAGCTTTTGTCATGTGTTTCATTTCCCAAACAAAATTGCCGCCTGTCAAGTTTCTAAGTTTGAGATGTGTGTGTAATTTTGTGTTGTACTATTTTCACGAGCTCAACATGTCAGGAGATTCTACACTGTATTTTTTTTTAAAAAAAGAAGATCAACACATAAAAGCCGCGAGCATGATACCAAAAAAAAAATGTCTGTGTCAATTTGACGCTCGCCCCGTTCCAACAGTGACATGACTGGTGAGCCTTCCCGCGGCAATGTAGCCCCAGGCCAGCCTATCAGTGCTGCTCTCGTACATAATGACAGCTTGTTCGGCGATGCATAAAGGCCACTTAAGATGGAAGGTAGATGACATTGTAAGGTAAATGGATTCTGACGGCTCGAACATGTCGACACAGAATTCGTCTGCTCACCTTTGCCGTGGGAGGTCTCGATGATCCAAGTGCAGTTGAGGTTGTGAGGGTAAAAGTCTGGGAAGCCGGGAGACAGGATGGTGCCATAGTTGCCCTGGATGTAACCCCCGCACAGGGCTGGTGTCGAAAAGACGATGGGAACGGAGCGCGTGCAGCCAGGAAGAGAAATGAGAACAGACAGGTCAGGCGTTCAGAAGGACAAACTAGAGTAGATGGACATGGAAAAATTGTCACAAGTCCTCATTATTCATTCCTTCATTCATTTGCCGAAATGAACGAAAAAAAAACCCAAAACAAAACACCTAATTACCAACAAACCAGTTCTGAAGATGAATTAAAACTAACAAAATTAAAAATGATAACCCTGGTTGCATTTATGAGCAAAAGAAAAAAACAAAACGCTTGCTGTTATCAATATTGGTGTGCCAAAAAAATCAAGCATTTACAGTTGAAGAAAACGGGAAGCTGTTTGATTGTGAGGTCACCGTAGCGGAGCGTACCGTCGCAGCTCGGCAGTGGGCGGCTCCACTGAAAATTGGGTTCACACTCCAGAGGCTCCGGATCACTGAGCGTGTACCCCGCGTCACAGCTAAATGTCACCAGAGCGCCCACATAGAAGTCGTTTCCGTGGCGCAGTCCGTTGACGGGGATGCCCGGGTCCACGCAGTGATCTGACTGCAGCTTCAAAGCTGCAGAGAAGGGGTGCAAACGAGCAAAAAAATATGAAGAGACATGTGCCAACAGAATTCCCTGAATTGCATTAGGTCAATCAGGGGGCAAAGAATACTTAAATGCAGCACTTTTTGAGGTGGGGGGTGGGGGGGGCGGCCATGATTAATTATTTACTGGAGCATCCTTTTTCGACAAACCAATGAGAAGTTTTAGTCCTCTTTTCCACTCCGCAATGTTTTTGCATGAGTGGGGCTGAAAGTAAATTATTCATGCTTTGCAAAGATTTACCTACAGAGGAACTGCAAAGGGATATTGCTGCGAGCCCAACCAGAGGAAATGAAGAGAATTTGGCGTGTAAGTCTGGGAAAGGTATATGTGACTGATTTATCAGCTCATGTAGTTTCCTAATTCTCGATGTTCCAACTAAAACATCTGACAGTTCATCGCTATTGCACCTAATTTGGGTCTGCCTAATGACAACCTCCCAGGGGGCGTCGGCGCGACATCTGCAAGTTCAACAATCCAAGCTCTTACTTTCGTAGCGTATCCGGAAGCCGATGTCAGAGTGGCTCTTGTCCGTGGAGAAGAGGAGATACAAAAAGCTGGAGGTACTGATGAGGAACTGAGGAACTTGAGTGCCCTGGTAACTTCCGATCAGTGGTGAAGAGGGAAAACGGCCATCCCGGACCTCCAGGACATCGTAGTTGACCTCAGTGCGGAACCTGAGGGCGAGGAAATGGCTTTTCAAGTGGTTGCGGGAGTCTTTATTTTTGAGAGGAATTTCAAGTGAAATTGAGAATTGTATATTTCCACGGCGGACACATGCATGACAAGGTGAATTATTCACAATTTACAGATTTATTTGAAGGAATTTGGCATCTTTCCCCGAGTGTGCTTGTGCGACACTCTGCAATGTGCACGTTCTGAGCTTGCCTCTGCCTTTTGCAAGTCGAGGCACTTCATCTTCAAAAGACCCGAATAAATTGCTGTGACTCCGAGCTGTGTTATCTAAATGAAGTGTTTTGTGATATTTTATTGATGCTACATAAAAATGATAGACGAACAAACATTTATGTTGGATTCATTTTTCATGGCGTGCTATCAAGGCAAGGGATGAGGACATGAGGATGAGCCTTGGTGAAACGCTAATGTTGCGTTTTATCCCGCAGCGCCCCCCCCCCCCTTACTGACACCCTGTCGCTGTCTCTCACTCGAGCACACAACCATCGCAGCAGATTACATTCTCCCATCTTTCCACTGTCCCCTGACAGACACTCGCATAGAAAATGCATGCACAACTACTCGCATATCTTGACGAGCTTTCTTTGTGTGCGGGTTGGCTCCTGTTTGCGAAAAGATGCAGCAATCTCTTCCGGGATTGAGTATCATATAAAAGGGATCAAATACTTATGAGGGCTTATTCGATAAAACGTGTCATCTTAGTTGGGGGGGGGGGTCATATGTTAATGTGCATTGCATTGACTGCGTTGCCCCTAGAAAGGGCTAACTAACATCAACACAAGAATACGAGACCAATCGAAACGAACAGCCCAAAATTGCAGGAAATACCATGTGTGCGAGATGGTTGACTCACTTGTCGAAGATGATCTTGATGGGGTAGCCTGGAGGAGCTTCAATGATCCATTCACAGATAAGAGCCTCCTTATAAAGTTCTGGCCAGCCAGGAGAGAGGATGATCCCACTGGGAGCCTTCAGCTCTCCTCCACAGGGGGCTACAAGAAAGAAGGACAAGACAGAGCAGATCGAGATGGAATTAGGCACGTCTTTGCCAGATGACATCTGACAGGCTACATAAACGAGCCCTTGCATCGAGTCCCGCCTCATTCCAATTCTTTTCCTGCAAATGTCAACTGGTGACCGTTCACTTCAAGGTTAATGATTTTCCCCAAGGACAATAACCCAATTGCATGTGTGCCTATCGCACAGGAACATGCACGACACACGTCCATTTCATAAACATGCCTGTGAATACATTTCACCAGCGTCAATCTGAGAAAGGGGAACACCCATCGTGAACCAGAACACACATACCTTGACTCAAATGAAAACCTTCCACTATTATCGCGCACCTGGAGAATGGGACTTGGTGGCGCCTTGATGGCTGTGAAGCGTGCCCTCTTCAGGAGAGCTGTCACATTCCCTACCCCACCTCTGTCATGTATTAATGAATGCCTGTTCGGGGAGTTTTGTCTTTCTTCACATACACACTGTGCTCCCTTGACAGGAGCTTACTCTGGAATGTTTTTCTTTCATGTGTGAAAACAGGATGCTGTAAAATGCGATCTGGCAGACTCTCCTGTTGGTCACTGTTTGTCCGTCTCCTGGACAGGTTGCGTATGTTCAATTTCAACGTTCGCCGTGGTACAGTGACATGAAAGCTGTTCTGATTCTGATGCATGCGTCTTGAAAACAAAAATTATTGGAACAGCCCTACGTCTGGTCAGTGCGAGCATTTTGAGAGTATATTTCCTCACCTTCGCATCGCGGAACAGCATTGTCCCACACCACGTTGCCATCCTTGAGGATGCAGGAGATGGTTTGCGAGCCATGGGTCTTCACAAATCCCTCCTCACAAAGGAATGAGATGGAACTTCCGAGCTGAAGGCTTTCACCAAATCGCTTCCCATTAACCGGGACTCCTGGGTCGGGGCACTCATTGTGGCGAAACGCTACAAGAAAGTACAGAGGACAAGAGGGTAAAATGTAAAAGACATCCACGCCGCATGTTTGAATGAAGCACTAGAATGGGTCTCATCTCCAAACAAAGATCTGCTTGCCATGATGTTTTGAAATAAATCAAAACAGAATCCAGTAGAGACACACAAACAGTCACTGGAGTCAAACCCTGGAAGAAAATCCACCAATACATCACCTGCGCTTCTTTCACACTAACTCTTAGCCATACTTGCAGCTAGGTGACAAGTAGGTGTTGATGGATCCCCCACATGGATCCATTGAACCCAAACCGAGCGTGAGCCACACATCATCCATCATGCTGTTATTTATTAACACAGCCAAAATGGGCTCAATGCAGTTTGGCGCTTCCTTAATTAACGTGAATGATGTTGGGGGGGGATTTGCAGTCAGACGATATTGTCCTCCGGAACGATGCGGCACCTTCAATTGACAGCTCCTGTCGCCGGGCTATATTCGTTATATATTCACCCTTTACAACTTTCTCATTATAATGCATGAGCTGCCATGTGCTTTTCACAATGCGCTTTCACTGGGGAGTCCCTTTCTGAGCAGGGTGCTTCGTGTCACCTTGTGAATCAGAAACATTTCAAAATGCTCTGAGGAATCTGACTTGGAATCGTTTGATTGACATCCACCAACCCAAGTGGTTTATTTGTCAACCAGTTGAAAGAGTTCGGAAAAGGGACCCTAACCCAAACCATAAACCCTTGTCTTACTTTCAAGAATTTAGCATGGACAAATTTTGCATCTGCAATGACTTCAACAATCCTGCAGAGAAAAAAAAAAGGACTATCGTACAGTATAAGCCCGTGAAACAGGTTTCCCGACGTGTATCAAACCCATCTGGATAGTCCCTCAGAAGTCAGCGACGACCCAGAATAGAATATAATGAGCGCTGCTGCAATGTGTTTGTCGGCTAAGGATGCGTTCCTCTTGGTTCTAGATTTATTTAGATGTCAAGCCTCTGTATCGACAAAAAAAAAACAAAAAACAAAGAAAGACAGGGTGTTTATCATTTTCTCGGAGTCACTTGCAGTGTGAGTGTGCAAAGACTCAGAGGTGGAGGAGTTGGTGGGAGATAGGTGGCTCATTGTTAGAGCACTTGATTTATGAGTTTCATTTGCATACGCATTGGCAAGGACACCATCTCGAACAGAAAACGTGATGTCAGGCTTACCGGTAAACCTCGAATAGGGTTTATCACCTCTGATACTTACTCGTAAAAGTGATGTTAAAACCTCGGTTTGTGTACGTGTGGTCAGTCAAGAACTCCAAGCGGGCGACGTGGGCGCTCGTTGTTATGGGAGGCGGGAGAACGTCTCCGGAGAAGGTGCCCAGAATAGGAGACTCAGCCTGGCAATAAAAAAAAAAAAAAAAAAAAAAATTAATGAAAGACTGTCAGAATGAAACGGTAAAATGTTGAGAATTGGGGAGCGGAAAGTACCTTTCCCCCATCCTTAATCGAGAGGAAGTCAAATTGTTTCTCCATGCTCAGGTCGTTGAAAGCCAAATTGATTCGGCTTTCTGGGTTGGTGATGATCAGCCAAACGCAGTGCATGTTGTTGCCGTATTCTTGCGGGTAGTTTGGGGACAACAGCACCCCGGAGGGTGTGGTGAAGTTGAAGAAACAGGAAACTGCGCAGAATTCGGACAAAATATGCAGAAAAGAAAGCCAGGTGAAGAAAAAGGATCAAATAAAATAAATGGGAAAGCTGTTAAACGTAATTATATTAGTGAGATATATTCTATTCAGTCCATAGTCATCGCAGCATTAAGGAGGTAACGGGACAGGAATAAAAGAAGAATAATTATGGAGCCCAATGAGCTGGAAACTACTGATCTTCATTCAATGAATGCAATGAAGGTCGTTTGCTAAAATAGGGTGTTATTTCACGTCATTTTTTTCCAACCGTTCAATTAGCATTTCGCTCTGCGGACATTCGAGACACATTTGAGCGCTGACGAGCTCTTGTTTTGCTGAGCTTCAGATTATCAAGAGTGATGTCTTCGGGACAATTTGTCTTTGTGTGGGACAAGTCAAGTGATGTTGCCTCGGAAGGAGCATTTGCACGATGCGCCGTGGCATAAATGCCAACAGTTGGGTGCCGAAAATAGCAACAGCGCTGGTGAACACGAGGATCCGTCAGCGTTAATTTGTGTAATTTCAAGAACGACGCCCTTGCTGCTTCCACTTCACAAAGTACGGGCCAGTGGACGAGATTTGGTGAAGCGAATCTTTTTTGACATTGCCACCGCTGTGTGTCAATCACAAAAACGTATCTTTATGCCGAACTGAACCGTGTGTTTGTTGACAAAAGTGATAAATGTTTATCTCGATAACACAGATTACCGCGCAGGCTAACGCGTTATCATGTACACAACAACAGGGAATAATTTGCGTGGCCCGCTCTTTGTTCCCCTCAACCGCAACTTCCTCAGTTTGTCTTTCTTTGTGATAACCGGAAAATAAACGAGCGCGTTGTTTCAAACCTCACATTGGTCCTCTGCAAACTGCGGAGGTAATCCGACCGTACATTATCCCCGCGCTGGTCTGCGCCGGGCATGCATATTAAAGTGCACAAATTCATTGCGTTCATGCGAATCCATGCGCAAGGCCGGAACTTACAAACGCAGCTGGGTTTCTTGGCCGACCACTGGTTGTTTTTCTGGCAGGTGATGTTCTTCTTTCCCACCAGCTCAAAAGCGGGCAAACACTCAAAGTACAGCCTGTCCCCATGACGGAAACCTGCCCCCTCTCGTTTACCGTAAGCGGGGATGCCGGGGTCACCGCAGCTCCCTTGGTCAATTTCTGTCGGGGAAAACACACATGGCAGATTACGAGTGAAACCACATTTTGAGATGATGCCGTGTTGAATTGGATCGCCAGCCAAACGAACTGAAACATGACAAAGTCAGTCGAATTCTACGCAAAAATGTTGCGTAACCAAAGCAAACCGAAATACAGACAGATATCCTCACTGCCCACGGGCTTGTCGATGATTATGTATCTTTCCGTGTTCCTCTGCGTACATTGTCTTAAGTCTAAACAGTATTTGCTTCGTATGAATGAGAAAAAGGCTGTGATGGCGCGCTTGTTAACTTGTCTGTTTGGCTTAGCAGAACTATCCAAGCGTTCCAATGGGCTCTCAAACTTACATGACTGTCAACAACAAAAGTGAGGAGATCTCAAAAGGCAGAGAATGACAAAAAGGCTCGATGTGGCAAATACTGGCATGTAACATTCATGGGCATAGCGCACGAAATAGGTCGACTTTGAAATCGTAACTGAGGACGGCATTCGGTTTTTGATGCATTAGACTGGTAAGGTGAGGTGTAAATATGTATACTGCAATGACGTTATCAGTAAATAGTATTGATTAGGTTTAGAAACAAGTAAGGATGCAAATTAGGTTTGAGAGTTGAAAGAATTCAAAGCATATCTTCCCCTTCATTAAGCAGAACTCATCGTTTTAATTACATTTGCTTTCTGAACAGTGTTCTACTTTCTGGGTTATTTTTAATGGTGAAAAACAAGCATCTGTGGGCCGGGGAGAAAACTCGCAACGCAGCCAAAGGTAAAAGCGATTCATAAAGCGACAGGCTTTTGAAAAGTCGCACTTCTCGACCTTGATCACCCTCGGTGACGAGAGATTGAGCTTCATTTATTTACCTGCGACAATAACCACTTGACAAGGCAGACACCCTGCTCACCGTCACAGATGGGAAGCTTTCAAGCAGCCCTTACCTTCGTAAGACACCTTGAAGCCCAGAGAGCCACTGGTATCATCTGTTTTGAAATTGAGCCACATCTGGTGACTGGTACTGACCACGAGGTCCGGAGTGCTGGTACCTGACAGGCTAATAAACACATTTCGGCATTCTGAGTTCTGTTCTTCATTGTCTGACATTACATATTAAATCAAAACACACAGTCCAGAAGGTAAAACCTGTCTTTGATGCAAGCAAGAAGAAGAAGGGGGCGGGGGGACAAATTCAAGAGTTGGGGCCAAGTTGGTGTGAAATGGAGTCAAGATCAGTCAGCGGCACCAAAGTAATTTGGCCCAATCTGAATAGTAATTTCACTCAATTCTAATTAGTTCGGAATTCCAACACAGAGAGTAAGTGATTAGAGGTGCCAATTGTAAAGACGGCAATTGGGAGGTGGTTGGAATATGAAGCAGGTGGTGTCTGATGACGGTCTTTCCAGCAATTTAGCAACTTGCAGTGGTCATTATCATCGTTCAATGAAACGGCTCTGATCTTCCTGTTCTATGGCCACTTCGCATGCGCCATTGCATCAAGGGTTGGGAAAGACAACAGAGAGATGGAGGGAATTCGCTTTGCCAAAACGAGAACACATCAAAGAAACTAAGCCTGACAGAAGCAAAGGGGCAACAATAACATTGGGACTGAATATAACGCAACATGTGTTTAAGGACATATGCAGAGAGGTCAGAAAAGTGGGGCAGAGACGTCACTCACACATGAAAGATGGTCTTCTGGTCCCCCACCATGTCGCCATCCCCCACTGTCAGCGTGTCATAGCCGCGCTCCAGGTCAAAATCCTCAAACGTCAGCTTGATCACCTAAGACAACATTGGGCACTGCGATGAGAGCAATTGAAATAACAGATGCTGGATCAAACATATCTGACAGATGCCTTTGCGTCGGTCCCCCCCCCCCCCACCCTCTCCCCTTTCCATCTTTCCATTATCTCCATCTGGCCTTTATCAGTCTCTCGCAGCGTTTCCTTCAACCATTTGCCCTTTAACATGACTCCACAAATCCTCAATCAAAACATCTTTTGTTCGGTGTACAAACACCAATCAGCGCAGATTGGAGTACAGGCCTTCAAGGCGGTTGTAACACCGGATAGATACCCCGAACACTTGCAAAGCATCCCGATCTCATTTACATCTTTGTTTTTCACCTTGTCTCCTCACAACGAGTGGCTCAAACAAGTCAATTTGTCTCTAACTGGCCTGTTTCCAGTGTAGCCTCCTTTTTCCATTTTCTTTATTGCTAATATTGTTCGACATAAGAACCGATGCCATGTGGTGAATTTAGAAAGCCTCCAAATTGTGTGTATGTGTGTGTGTGTGTGTGTGTGTGTGTGTGTGTATGTATACAGTATATATATATAGAGAGAGAGAGAGAGAGAGAGAGAGAGAGAGCGAGAGAGAGAGAGAGAGAGAGAGAGAGAGAGAGAGAACAAAAATAGTAACACTTAAAATCACGTCAAAGGCCACGAAAATCACGAGTCAAAAGCCAAAGAATAAAATTGTGAGTTTTAAGACGAGCTTTAAAGGTGGGCAGCGAGGGGGCTTGCCTAACGCTCAAAGAGACGGATCAGCAACGAAAAAGGCCCGATCCCCTCTGAGCCTCCGCTTAGTTCTCGCTACCTCTTATCGTGTCTCGTCCGCAAACCCGAGGCAGCAGGCAGTTGCGCAGGAGCTCAGAGTGGTCAGGTGGGGTGAGGCCATTTCACGATTTGAAAACAAATAGGATATTAAATAGAACTCTACAATGTATCGAGAGCCAGTGAAGGGATGCCAGTTATATGCTCCCTCTTACGAGTAGTAGTCAAAAAGCAACAGCAGCATTCTGGACCAACTGGAGATGCTTAACGAAGGATTAGCTGACTCCAAAGTAAAGTGCAAATCACTGTCCAGTTTCAAATTCCACAGTGACGCCGGCATTTATTCTTTCATTGAGTCCTACCTTAGATGTGTCTGTCGCAGTGATGACCCAAGTGCAGTTAGCATTGTTGTCGTATTGGACCGGGTAGTTTGGAGACGTCATGACACCACTGGGTCCTCGTAATTGACCTCCGCACATCGGAGCTAAAACAGAGAGAAGGGGGGAGAGGGGGGGGATACTTTGGATCACCAACATTCTGAGTACACACTCAGCGTTTCTCAACGTGCAAAACTGCAGTGATCCGCATTAGATGAGAAAGCCCTCATGTTTGTACTCCTGATACTTCTTGACCTGAGTGCGGCCGTCGATCAGGTTAATCGTAAAACCTTCGTTTGTGGTTCGTCCTCGGAGGCACATTTCTAAATTGGATTCCTTCCAATCTTATTAGAACATCATTATCTGCTTCTCTTGGTTATGTTGAATCAGCTCCAGATGGACTCCCTCAGGGTTTAATTCTTTAACATATGATATATACGGTATATATATATATATATATATATATCACACAGATGACAAAGCTATATGTTCTGTTCTTACTGATATTAAATATGGGATTGACCAAATCTGTAAAGTACAGGAAATTCTGTCTTTTTTTAATCGGTTCCTGGTCTTTGAAAATCCATGAAGCCATGCCAAAGAGTCCACTGTGATTTATGATAACAATCATAACTTTGAGAAATAAAACTTGATGAAAGCTGCGAGACTCCCATATATAACGTCAGACAGAAGTAAGACGTTCCCCTTCACAGTGAGGCTTCGAAATGGACCTTCAAGGTTTTGCACCACTCCAAATACAATGCGAGCGGCAGATTACTCCACACCATTCAATCATTCCTTTTAGGAGAAAAATTGTTGTTTCAGGTACTTTGCACAAAGTATATAATGGTCGTATATAAAGAAGCGTTAAGAGCATTAGCTTACTTCTAAGAAGACAGCATGAAAACCGTGTTTTCATGCTGATCGGATCAACTTGCAAATCTCCCCGCTTTGGAATGAAGGCACATCGGGGACTTTGGACATTTATTTCTCGATATGGAACATCAGTGACAGACACAATCATAAGAAACGCAAAGTAGACAACAAGGCAATCAGTTTGGACAACAATCGGTCCTCAATGCAGAGGAAGTGGAAACTTTGAAGCCGCCCATCCTTCAAAGGACAACGTGACTTTTGTTATCAAAGGCCTGCGGCGATCTGCATGGTCGAGCTGTTGAACATCCTTTCAAATGAAAGCAGAATTTCAATGAGTGCATGGAGGGAAGTGTGTGCGCGCGCGCGTGTGTGTGTGTGTTTGTGTTGTGTGTATGTGTGCGTGCGTACGAGCACCTTAGAGTGGCTGAAATTATTTACAAGCAAAAACTCTTAGAAAAGCCGCGGCGAAGCAATTAATATGAGTTGCTTTGACCTTAAAGATGACCCCTATAAAGATAATACAGTACGGAGGAAGGGCCACAGTATGTGGCAAAAAATTTTTCTAAAAGACCACGTTACATAATTGAAAGCTAATGCTCTTGAAAAGAGAATAGATTTGGAGCCTCCACACTGCATGTCTTTATTTTAATGGTGACTAATGCTAATTCAGGATACAGGTCTTCAATTATTCCCGCCTGATTTAATGTGTGTGTGTTTAATCATCATTAACTACGTGAATCGGAACGAGGTGCCGGACCAAAGGGTGACTAAGGGATATGGAAATGAATACTAAAGGGCAACGTTGCCGATAATATTGGGCATGCACATTATTGTCCTCGGCCGTATCTATCTCAGATATATTTAATAACAGACTCACACCACCACGATCAAGTCATGCAACCTTCGTAACCGAGACGACGTCAAACGCGGAGCATATTGCGGTGGCTTCCATTTCTCGAACGCCAACACGCTCGGGCGCGTTGTCAACACTTGCCTCTGCAGATGGGCCTCTCGTCACTCCAGCCCACGTAGCTGTCAGTCACTCGCAGACAGCTGATGCTCTTGGAGCCTTGCAGCTCATAACCCTCGTCGCAGGAGAAATGCACTGTGGCTCCTCGCCTGTAGTCGGGTCGACATACATTCAAAAACAACGCGGCTCTCGTTGACGTTCCCTTCTCAATATTCAAGGCATGGTGAGTGTTCTTTGTTTTTTACCGAAAGTCTGAGCCTTTTCTTTTGCCCCGATCTGGGATGCCAGGGTCCGGACACATGTTGTGTCCTTGCGCTACACCCATTTGAGACACTGCATTCAAACCACGCACAGGGGAAGAAAAATAAAGAATTGACTTCTGTTATACTGAATGACACTGCAATTTGGCTTTATTGAATAAGAAACTCAGGGCATGCGATAAATTATGAGCATCTATTTAAGCATATTTTTATTGTCCGTTATTATTAAGCCGGAAAATGACTTGATTGACTTACACACGGATATCTTGTGGTAGTTGTCTTTGCTCGGCAACATCTTTACACCTCGAGATTTCAGCTCAGTCATCTTCTTTACTGGAGACAGAAAACCAATCAACTTTTTTTTTTTTTTGGATTAACAAAACAACATTTTCAACACAATTACCATATAAGGCGTGCATAATATCCTTTCATGTTCTCAATTATATGCGTGTGTGTGTGTGTGTGTGTGTGTGTGTGTGTGTGTGTGTGTGAGTTCAACCTCAAAAAGTAATAAGATGAAAAATGGCAGCATAAGAGGTGATTGAATTTGGGCATCAACATCCTAGGGTGTGCAATGTGCAGTCGGTATGCAAAGTGAGCGCAACGATGGCGGGGATGATCAATCAGTTTAAATTTGAAATGTGAACAAGGATGCAATCAACGGTGTTAAGAGTACAGAAGGAAACCAGTGAAAACCACAAAAAAGCAAGTATGTTGTCCGTATAAATGAAAAAAAAACAAAAGCAAAATCTTGTCATTCAAGCTATCAGCTTTTCCTCCACTGGGCTTGACATCATCTTCTCTGTTTGGTGTCGTCTTGAGAGTGGAACAAAATGAACAGTAAGGTCATTAACATTTTATTTCCCCAGTGACATGAGTGCGCTCGGCAGATTCGTCGCCCTCCTATATTATGAATTATCTTTTGACGCAAGTCCGCAGGTTGAGATTTGGCACTCGGGCTTCAGCACGCAATGCGAGTAGCCACCGAATGTCCAAAAATGGGACGATTATGTCCTCCGCCCGGAGCGTAACGGTTGTAAATTGCAGCGCAATCCGCAATGAAATTTAACCTCCATTTAAATTCCTCCACAAGTGAATGTTTTGCGCATGATTTGGAACCTTGACAGACGCTGGGTCATCAAAGAGGAATGTGTTTCTTCAGAGGGATGGCAATGAAATCAATGTACATGAAAATGGACACCGAGAGACATTTGGGGAGATGCATATCGTCCTACCTTGGTAGTGAGCACTGAAACCTTTCAGCTTGTGGTTGCCGTCGGATGTAAAGTGCAGACGAAGCCAGTTCTTGCTGCTGATAATGGGGGAGGGAAGGTTGGGGCCGGTGAACCTGGAAGCAAGACAGAGAGGACCTAAGTATCGCCCATGATGAGGTTGGGAGCCTTTGAGCACGCGGATGTGAACAGATTGTACACAGCAGACGCGCACGTCAGCGCATCTTGTGGACCCGAATGCACTTCAAGAAAAGGCCCCCCGTGCTCACAAACAAAGCCGCAAGCGCTAAAGTGCTGCCGGAACTTTTGGAGACTTTTTCCAAGTGTTTTATTTATTTATTTATTTTCCCTCACGAAATACAACCTCTTCGACCACTTGCACATCTTATTCCCTTTGTAAGTGTTTGGGTCCCCCCCCCCCCCAAACAAAGACACCGCTATTATATTCAGTCTGCATTCTAGATATACAAGAAAGAGTGTTCAAGTGGGAAGTTAATGTGAGCAACACTTCACCAAATTGTTGGCCAATAAAAAAAGAAAAGAAAAAAGAAATTGGACCATCCATGACAATGCAGGAACAAGGCACTTTATTTCCAGGCTTTGGAAAAAGGAATTTGCAAACCATACTTCACAAACACTTAATGCGTCTCCTGATCTGTGTAGTAACGAGGGTTCTTGCTGAGCAGGCACTTCTGCTGTTCGTTCAGGACAAAGTCACTCGGGGTCGTGCGCTTTTATCATACGACACCCTGACGACTCAAGGGAGCCTCGGCTGCCAAATAACTTTGAGAAGGTGTGATGTCGTTCGCGTGTTGACATGCATCACAAGATATCCGTCTAAGATTTTGTTGCAATCCTGTGAATGACTCCAAAAACACGAACTGCGCTGTATACAAAACTATCAGAGAATATATACATTTTGCGAAAAAAAAAAAAAATGTAACAATAGTTCACCCTCACAACTGGTAGCACATGAATTGTTACAATTATGGACTCAAATGAACCAAAGAGCTCTCATAAGTGCGCGAGAAATTCAAGTACAGTGAACCCTCATTTATCGTGGCGGGTACGTGGTCGGTGTGGCTGCTCCTAAAGTCGTTTTTTTTTTTTTCTTTTTCCCCCCTCCCCTCCACCTAACGTATAAGTCTGAAAATGAAGGGGACTTCAGGGAGCGGTGCAGTGAGTGTGGAGCAGCCTGTTGGAGGTCTTCTGAAGGATGTTGTGGCTCTCTGTGCTTTCTATGGCTCCATTGCACCTTCCTGTATTCGTTTACGATTGTCTTGAGAGCACGGCACTAAATCCGTTTTCTTTTCCTCGGGCCCGGAGCTCCACTGGCTGAGAGACTTCTTTAATGAGTTCGAGTCCAATTAAATGGCTTTTGGCCAAGGCAAGGTGAAAGAGGAGGATGTTTTTGATGGAAGGCGGATATGGGCTGGATTCCATGATGGGTTAAGGGTGCTTTCTAAACGACAAGCTTACACGTTCTCCGGTTTGAGAGTTGATTGGTTTGATAATAGCTTTGGTTCCTTTTCCTGCAGGAAAAAGTCCAAACGGTACCCTGTACCGAAAAGGGACTGTTTTTTGTGAAACACCGTGAATGTCTTTCCTCCGCACAACCTTTGTCAAATGTCCTTTTAATTTTATTTATTTATTTCGTGCATGGCATGATTTTTTTTTTCGTCATCCGTTCTGTATTCCCGGCACTCACCGCGGTATGCATCCGAAGCAACGGGTGGAGTCGAGGTGTCCGGATTGAAGCGGCTCCGCAGTAGGATCAAAGGTGTTCAAACAGTTTTTAGGGCATGACTGCACCCTAATGAACACAGCTCATGTTCGCACGTGGGCGTTTCCGTGCTTAGTTAGGCCCAGGGACCGTTCTGCCAGCAAATAGACGTTGCTTGTAGTCGCAGCTGCTTTAGGAGATCAAGGCCAAGTCTGCTCTGTATGCAAGTCTGCGCAGCGGAGTCGGAGGGGGGGGGGGTCACGGTGACTTTAAAGCACCAAGCTCAACTTTTGGCATTTTCATGATTAGCATGACAGCACAAGACAGGCTAATCCCGATAAAGTACACAGTACAGAGGCAGAAACACTGAAATGGCCGTACGCCTGATAGACAGGCAAAATCCCTTCAGGGAAAGTAATCAGTGTGAAAGTCTGCCGTGGCACTATGAGAATGTTGGCTTTGACCTTCAGATGTATCAAAAAAAAAAAAATCACCAACTCCAAGCACCAGGGGCTTTAAGGCTGTAAAGCCGCTCCAAACAACTCAACCGCTAATACTTTTCAATGAGTTCTTGAAACAAAAGAAAAACCATCAACCGGTCAAAGTTTTGGCCTTCAGGGCGGTAAAGTTTCGCAGAAGGGAGTTTGAAACGTCATCAGGCCGACATGGTCCCTGGCCCCAAACAAACAGCATATGCCGCCTTCTATTTTAGCAGCTCCAGTCTAATTTAAAGGCAGTTTTCTGGTCCCGGCAGGGTGTCGTCTTGTCTTCGGAGGGGTTCATGTGGTTCCTCTTGTGGACTAATTTTCTGCTCTCACTGAACATGTAATTAGGACGCTGTTTGAAAAAAAAAAATTCCTTCCGCGAAGAACAACACGTCAGCCATCATCTCCCTTTCTTTCTTTCTATCCGCTCAAAATATGTCACATACGTTTAAAGTTAAGTACATGGAGCGCAGTGGGCATTAAAACTCAACTCGAGCTGGAGGAATGCATACAATCATACATCTCTTTGTGTACCCCATTAAAAAAAAAAGTTCACTACTACAACATACTGAGCACATTATGTTCAAAAAAGGGTTTCTTTTTTTTTTGATTGGTTTTATCAATTTATTTTGTTTTCATGTTTAAAATTCTCATAGTTGTTTTGACCTCTTATTTTCGGTTAAATATGACATTTTAACATCGAATTTACATTTTAAAATAATATTTGAAGGATTAAAAATAAATGGTAACATTCAACATATTGACTGAGGTGATACACTTTGGAACCATATCGCCCAGCCTTCATCCAAGCCGCCCGTTTTCTTTGACCCAAGCATCGTTTTCAGCCAGATTGTACTGTACGAGACCAAACATAACTTTGAACAAATGTCCTTTTCAAGGACTGATTGCTGCGCCCTCATCCTCGTATTTAACTGACGGCTTATCAAGAACAAACACATAAACGGTGAGCGACAAAGTGGCACGCGGTGAAAACATGAAGCGACACAAACAAAGCGCACATTGCGGGGATCAAAGTGACTATTCAATTGGTTCAAGGTTAATGCTGTGTTTTAAAGTCTGTAGATAAAGCTTTCATCACCTGACACGTTTTATTTGATGCACACCGATTGCATGGATAGTCGGCAGGGAGAATTTCGCCGTGATAATCAGATGAAAGCGTGTCAACAAAAGTCGATGGGACATTTGGTTGTTTGCTGTAAAATGACAGGAACGGTTTGATGTCATCTAGGATGTATCCGTAAATGTCAACGTATTCCGGGGGCATCGGAACGAGCCATAATGGCCGTTTTTGCTTTCAGTATAGTAAAAGGAAGGACATCAGATTTGCTATTCGTCTATCCCTGTTCAAACGTAATCACCTCTTTAATACCCGTCCTGCTATCAGTATAACTCTAAATGGAACCATTATTTAGAAAATAAATAACTCGATGCATCGGGTGTGCAAAAAAAAAAAAAAAAAAAAAAAAACGATTCGCTCAATTATCTGGAATTTATGCGCCAAGATTCAATAAATCGATGTCAAAGTTCATCATCGATTTTCATGATTTTTTTTTACACCAGCAGATGGCAGCGCGGAGCAAATTTGTTGTGCCAAGAGAACAGTCTTAAGCATTCGGCAACACGTCATCTAAAATAAACGTCAGAAAGAGTGACTGACTTTCATCTGGCTGCATTGATTGAAGTGCACGATTCAACTCGTGTTGTTGATGGTTTATATTGTTTTAACATGTTATAAGACAAGAAAACAACGTGTCGTTTGAGGAAAATACTAATACTTGTGAATGGCAGTATAATCAATAATCGTAACATAAATTAATCGCCACACAACTATTGTGATTTGAATCAAATCGGGAGGTAAATGCATCGTCCTACCCGTGTTGCCGCATTGACAAACAAACTTTAAATGAAGTAAGCCAGACAATAAACCCATTCGGAAAATCGTTACTGGGGTAACAAATCAAATGAGAAGTTTGGTTCATCTCAAACTTGTCAACCGTGAAAAATGAAGTATTAATATCGCGATAATGGGCTACTACTACAAAGTGTGTGCCTGTTGTTGAGAGCGGCTGCTGTAGAGTTCTGCAACGGCTCGAAATATACGAGGATCTTTTAAAAATCATTTTTGGAGGTTCCTGTGATCATTAAACGTGTCCCTGATTTAACAACATCCCATTAGCAACAGTAACTTACTGACATTCATAAAACTAAATGGCATATAAAACTGTTGCCATGCAATCTGCTCATGTGCACTTTTTATAATGGACAAATAGTGCCGAGTCAGAAGTTTCCCTTTTAAAGAATAAGCCCCTGACAAGGAAGCCAGCGCATCATGCGCTCGAACAATCTATAAAAGGTCAAAATAATGCATGAAGAAAGCTAATTAACCTCAGGTGTGAGTGTTTGGAAAAAGTCATGGTCACCAGTCAAAGCATCAACATTTCTTTTCGAGCGCTATTACTCGTCCCGTGCGTTTCATCAACGAAACAAGATGCTGCACCCCCCCGACAGCTGGCCGCAATCTGCAGGCTGTGTGAAAATAAGTGAAGCCGTCATCAATTCCGGACACTTTTATCGCCCGAAAGTGCTTGTAATTGAACATTTTCATTCTCGAAAGTCATACGACACAATTTGGCGATTTACATGGGAAACGCCCCACAACCTTTGGTTGTATTCTAAATCGCATACACAAAACTCCCGGTTGAAGCGCAAATATTCTCCGGAGCAGCTTTCGGATTCCTAGCCAGCCTACAAATACTTCTTTGAAGCTAAGTGGGGAGAACAGTTTTGTAATTAATGCATGGCGGTAGTTTAGAACGGATGCGGTCAAGAAATAATGTCGACATGTCCGCTTCCGACGACAATGTTCAATGCGTTGAAGTATTTTATG